GCCTGTAGCCTGTAGCAATAAACCTAACGAGTTCGTTTGGTCATCATCATCAAGAGCCTTGCCGACTGGCGTGTGCGATCATGCCTCTTCACAATCTGCGATCTCCTGCAGCATGTATCGGTTCGTGTGCTGACACACCTTCATGCCATGCAACAGGACTGTCAAGAATCTTCTCTCGTTGTCTTCCTCTATCCCTCCTTCCACAGATCTTTCCAGTGGAAGGTTCGTTCGATACCCTGGGGAAAAAAAAATAAGTAAGACAAACAGGCAGTACAGAAAAAATAGATCGCCAACGACAACATTGTGAAGCAGCTGGCAGGCTGTAGCCCATTGGTCAGTGGAAGGATTTCAAACAAGTCGCGCTTGCAGCAGGACGGTGGATGGAGGATCTGTTGGAGACTGTTTAACGGACAACTGTCGACTTTATTGGTTTTGTTGTTGTTAGTCATATATATTAATATTTCTTGTTAACGGACGGACATAATCAAGAACTGTGTCTGTAATTAAGACGTTTCAATACACGGAGAACAGAAATATCTTCGTACGTAAATCAGTCACGCTGATGTAAGTTGACAAGTCAGTCAAGTCAAAGATTTGTTTATTTTTTATTAAATAAAATTATTTTAATTAAAGAAGTCGAAATATGAAAAATAACAATGACAGAAATTGCAGAGAAAACATATTTTCCGCAATCATATTCATATGTATTTTGTTTAAACTGCCACCCAGTCATTTAAATTTATGAATAAAATCCCGTGCCATTGTGATAGTCATACTAGTCATAGTGACTGCAGACCAAAATAAATATCAGACATTACATTAGACATGTCACATTCTGAGACATTATATTATATTCTTTCTTGGTGAACGAAGTCCAGTTGAGTCACCCCCCTACTAACCGTCTAACCAGTCTCTGTCCCCTCTAATTTCCACGTAGTGACAACATACAGTTACAATCTTACACAGTTGCAGTCAGTATATCACTATATCCAGTTCAGTATATCAGTTCTCCACCTCCATAATTATGATAATTAACTAGGATTATGACTTATGTGTTCTGTTTTTCTCGACAGCACACTTAATAATTTATTTTCTCAGTACTCACTCACTTCTTATTTCAGCTTTTTTGTTTGTTTTGTTACTAATTCTCAAAATCTTCTGATAAACTGTGATAAAACAAGATAATGATAGCGGTTAGGCTTTAGACATTTCTTTTTTGTAATTAAGTAATTTTCAAGCAGTAGGAAACATTGAGAACAACTAAAACAAAAACACATTTATTAGCTGAATAGTTGGAGTTAAATTGCATGACAGAATCACTACTGTTGACCTTTTGGTAGAAATAACCAATTAAGTTAAGGGGAGTTGAAAAATAGAAACAAAAAACAATAGCATTGGAAAGGACACCTTAAAAAATACCCTGAAAACAATATAACTGGAATGCTTTAGCACTGGAACCCACAGGGGCAGACCAACCCACAAAAAAAACACACACGGAGAAGGAAGCTAGAGGAGGATGAAGTTAAGAGAGGACAGGGGTGAGGTACATATAATAGGAAAGGATAGGATAACTCTATATAGTGGGCCTGTAATTTTTAGGGAACTAGTCACCACATGTGTCCCTATTCAGGCGGCTAGACATGTGAATGCAGCCTGAAGTTGCCAGACATGACAATTTTACTAAAGTTACATGATAGTTAATTCATGAAAACAGCAGGCTACAAGTCAAGAGGCTGCCCAAGAAAGAGATGGGTGGAGGGAGTAAAAGAGACACTGCAGTATAATGCAGTATGACTTTAGTTTAACACAAGTTAGGCAACTAGCACAAGACAAGACGGAAAACTACATCTGACTCCTCTGCAACACTTTACAGCATAAGCATTAAGACAAAAAAGAAGACAAGATGTGTGGTTAATCAACACAAAACAAGTGATATCAACTACATGTGCTTTACTCTTCCCTTCTGGATCTATTAAGTAAATTAGAGTACCTATGGATCTGCTCGCAAGGCTATGATCATAGCAGTCACTAATTCAGTAGCAGGGACTGACTGTTGTATGTCATGGAATTTCCTTCAGTATTATTTAAGAATGAAAGCAATGTTTTCCCATTGTGAATTTGAACAAAGAAGACACAAACAACAGAGTGCAATAAATTGTGTAATCCGTTGTTTGTGTTTTTTGTTTTTTGGGTTCTTATTTAAGAATGTCTTCTGTGAGTTTCAAGTAATTTTTCAGTTAAATGAAATGCTTTGCTCAGTCTCCAAGAATGTAAGATAAAAATCACCATAACTGAGCAGTTGTTAAAAATAATTTTTTTTCCCTGTAGGTAATGGATTTACGGGACAGTTATCTCGGCAAAAGAAGTCTGTCTGAACTTGAAACTATTAGTCAGCAAAGACCAGAAGAAGATGAGGATGTTCCTGTCAAGAAAAAGCTTCGCACAAAACTTGTTGACCTGTTCAACCGAGTGTCAGTCAGCATGCAAACACCTGAAGACTACATTAAAGTCTATCTTCGGATAAAACCATTTACTGCTGAAGAGGATGCCAGCCAGGTACATTTCATGTGTTGACTTTGTGAGTTAAAGCATTAAGAATCTGTACAAAGTGTTACTACCAAATACAAATCTGAAAAACTGGGAATGACAAAAAGTGGTTGCCAAAAGAAACAAAACAAAATTAATTATTTAGGAGTGGACCAAAAGCTGAAGAAAACAAGTTGGTGTTGGATATAACCCACGTTGAGAAAACCTGAGAACAATATAAATATAATTTTTAGGCAGTGTACTGGAACCCACAGGGGCATACAAACAAAGGAAGACCCCCCAAAAAACCCACACAGAAGGGAGCTAGATATTAGTTGCGTATCCTTTACAGGATATTGCAGAACCAACCCCAGCAGCCCCTTGCTGTTGTGTGGTTTCTCTAGGCAAATTTACATCTAGTAGTTTGCCATTGCTTTCTGGATGGTCGGCCCCCTGATACCACTGTCGAAACCAACGCAAGGCGCATGACCTGCAGCTGGGATCTAACCCGGCACCCCAGCATTACGAAGAGTTTGCAGCCACAGAGCCGACAGGGAGCTAGATAGTGAAGTTAAAAAGATGGGGAGGACATAGAGAGAGCTTCATGCGATAACAAAGGATAGAATGATTCGGCGTGAGTTGGCCGAAAGCCTGTGTCCCATTTGGAAATTGAAAGCAGAAAAAAAAAATATTTTGGCCACATTAAAAGATATAACACTCTTATAAGAACTGCATTGAGGTTGAGCAATGAAGACATAGACCGCAATGCAAGTATGAGGACAACATCAAGAGATGGACGAACAGCATTTTTGTTTGTTCAAATGAATTCATTATCAATAAATGTTTGGGTTGTTACATCTCGGAAAATTTAGTCTGGACTAACTAAACTAATCTGCGTAAATATTTTAACATACTCACTGCATTTTATGTTAGATATCGGTTTGAATGGGCCCTTCTAGATTTTTGGTTTTCTCTTTGGTTATGGTCTCTATGAATAAATAAAAGCATCAAGAATTGACATCACTGCACTTGGTGCATTCTCCCATGTGATTTGTCCCCTTCTTCAGTAGCCAATGAAGAATTGATATGCTAACAGTACCAGCTACAACCTCAGTAGTCCGCCTCACCTGTTTCCCCCTCATTGTTAAACATTTTTCAGAACCTCTAAACCCCCGTTGAATTAGTCTTTTAGTGAATGGATTCTCTGTCTGTTCTGTTGCACCGTTTCATTCTCTCTGGCAGTTCATATGCTATTGTGCAGACACTGATGTAAATAATAGGTCCATTTTCGCTGTATGAGACATCTTAGACATATGGGTATAGTTCCGTGTTTATGTACACCTGGCAAAACATTTTAGGGGGAGGGGGAATGATGTAATCAGTAGCACACCGAGTGCCTTGCTTCCAGTGGTATTTCTTGATACTAATTGTATGTTTTGTTGACCTGAGAGGTCGGATTTTTAAAAAAATCTGCCCGTATAAGAATTTGAGCCTATGACTAAGTTGTATGAATGGTGTGAAGTAATGGCTTCTAAACTAGTTAGTGGTATTGTCTTGGAGGTAGTAGAATGATTCTTACACAAAATATTGTTGATTAAAAAAACATTTCAAGAAGAGTCATGTGTGAAATGAATATATATATATATATATATTTATATACATATATATGTGTATATTATAGTAGGTGCTTGGGGCGTGGTCTGTGAATTAAGGTGCCTCAAGTTTGGAAACCACTGATGTAAATTAGTAGACTTTTACATTTACTAGGTTGGGGTGTTAAAGGTAGAGTGATCAGCTTTGTTCCTACACAATGAAAAGATATCTTGAAAAATAAAAATCAGCATCATGATTATACTTTGTAAATATAAGATGTTAAGTAAATCAACACTAATCCCTCTTATAGATAAATGGAAAGTATATTAAAGTATTAACACAAGTATGTAACAATACCATATACATTTAAGAATAAGTACTTTCAATCATATCACACAAGTTCTGCTAACTGATTATTCTTCTGCTTGTTAGCACCAAATGTATAAACTCTTGCCAAGTTGTCATGTTCTTTCACCTCTTCTCCCCCCCCCCCCCCTTCTTTTTTTTTAACATTCTGTATGATGAGAGCAACTTTCTAGTAAAGGACCTGCCGAGTGATGACACTGAGGGGCTACAGTGCAAGTACACGCTAGTTGTATAAAGTTTTCCTAATGTGTGTCCTATCCAGTGCCAATCTTTTCCTGACCTTGATTTCTAAATCGAATATTTTTAAGTGTCTCCCAGAGCTCCACTCAATTACTAGTAGTCTTATTAGGTACCATATAATGCATATTTTGTTGTCTGTTAGTAATTGTTTTAATCGTTCTCCTGTTTCTGCTCAATACAGCAGAATGGATGTTTAAGATTCATATTTCAATTTTGGTACCTAATTAATTTTCACGTCCTTTGACTAACTGGTTGTTGTTCTGCAATATTTACAGAGGTGTTACAGTGTAACAGAAGAAGACAACGCCATAGTTGCCACAGCCCCAGAAGCAAGTCATGCTTTTAGAAACACAAAGCGTGGCTTGGGGAAGTCATCGCACAAGTTTACATTTTCCAGAATTTTCAATGAGGACACTAGTCAGGGTGATTTCTTCAATGCAACAATGTTGAGTATGACTAAGGATTTCATCAGTGGTCAGAATTCCCTAGTTTTTACGTATGGTGTCACGTCATCAGGAAAAACTTACACAATTCAAGGTAAATTCATGTATAGTATATAGCGTGAAGATCATGGGTGTAATTTAATCAGCTGATGTGCAAAGAGAAACATAATGGATATTATTAAGTTTAGTGAATTATGTGTGAATTGGAATATCAAGGATTATAGTAATAATTTAGCAAGGTTATATGTAAAGGGAACATCAAGAATTTTATATATATATATAATATGTATATAAATGAATTTCATTGAAATTATATGTAAAATATTAGTTGTGATTTAGAAAGTTAATATGCAAAGGAAAGCTAGAGTTGAGTCAAGAATTGATATCACAGCACTCGGGGCATTCCCGCGCATGCTCCGTCCTTATCTTCAGCTGCCATCGTAGAGTTCCAATACTAATGGTACCGGTCATAATCTGGTTATATGTCCGTCTTGCTTTTTCTCTGAGTGTAGTGAGCCGGCCAGACCCTCTGGTTACACCACCAGGTGCCTCATTCTATCTAAGCCATAATAAAGGGAAGCTAGTAATTACATTGTTGGGTTAACATGCAGATGGGACATTGTCGATAATAGTGATAATTTAGCGTTAATATGTGAATGGGGAACATCAAGGTTATGATAATATTTTAGCGGGGTAATGTGCAGAGGGGAACATAGTGGTTTTAGTAATAATTCAGTGAGCTGGGACATCAAGAATTATAGTAATAACTTAGTGAAATAATGTCAAAAGGGGAACATCAAGATTTATAGTAATAACTTAGTGAAATAATGTCAAAAGGGGAACATCAAGAATTATAGTAAAACTTAGTGAAATAATGTCAAAAGGGGGACATCAAGAATTATAGTAATAATTTAGTGAGTTAATGTGCAGAATGAATCACTGAGGATAGTAGTAGAAATACATGCTCAGTGTGTAAAAGCGAAAATGGATTTTAAGTCGTTTTGTGAGTTACACATCTTTTCTCTTGGTCTTCCTATGCCTCTTTCCTTCCAACTTTCCCACTGTCACAGTGTAGTCTAGTTTTCTCCTTTCTGTTATATGACCAAAGAATGTAGATTGTCTCCCGATGTGGGCAGTGTTGAAAGCAAGTATACAAGTGGGAGGACAAGAGATGGACAAACGGCAGCATAAGAGAGTACAGTGAAGAAAATGACAACGTATTACAGCCAAGCTTCATTGTGGAGATGGTCACTGATTGATGGTGATGTGGGCAGTCACTTCTGTCTGAAGTTTACGATAATAATCAAGGGAGTAAATGTGCCCACTAACTCAGCATGACTATTCAATGAGATGCTAAGAGCTGATTCTATCTAAGAAGCCAGTATATAACCACCTTACAGTGAAAATATAACTATATATTGCATGCTGTAGTGTATCTTAGTTTATCAGATTAATAGCAGTTATACTGGGGTGAGGAAGATGGTAACCGAACATGGGATCATCATTTACTGGTGAAGGCCAAGCTAGATGAAAGGAGGAGAACTGCACATGTAACCAGAACCAGACTTTTATATGTGAGACCAGTATCACTGTTTTGTTTCAGGCCAGCCTCAGAATGCAGGTATTCTGCCCAGATGCCTGGATGTGATATTTAACTCTATCAACGGGAAACAGATACCCAGCAGTACCACCCTCAAGCCTCGCATGTTCACAGATATTGTACGGCTGTCTCCGTCAGAAGTCTTGCTTGAAAGGAAACTGAAGGAGCGAACTCTGAAAATGAGTGTAGATGATGTAAGTAAAAGATAAAGGCAAGGAATCCTTTTGTGCTTTGAGGCATGGTAAGCTTATGGTCATCACCATCGTCCTGTTAGGCCATTTTATGCCACATAGGGCCTCACAGTCTAGAGTGTTTCAGGTGTATGATGCTAAGAATTTTTTTTTAAAGACCAATTGGCACTTGTGGGTGATGAGGTAAACATCACACTCACTGCCTTAACTTCCCAGCACATTATCTGGTACCTGTTTTAGGCTGGGTCGATCTGGGGGGTAAAAATGGATCTTAGTGCTGATTTGAACTATAAGCATTTCGCTGGCAGGTGAACACATGTGTAGCTTCTATTCTACTGCAGTAAATTTGACACAACAATAGGACATGAACTGCAGCTTTCCACAGTATGGCAGGGTCATGCAAGTAGCCGGTCTATGGATTGCTCCAATGTTGTTAATGTCCTTAGAAAGATAGGATGTTTGGGGGATTTTGGGAGCAGTCACTCATGTCCAGACACGAGAGGCACACCAGATGTCGCATGACAGCATCCACACATCTGCCACAGTAGGAAGGTCCATAAGCTGACCACCCTAAAAACTCGTCATCGTAACTATGTAATAGAATAGGCCAAGCATAGTTAGATAGTTCGTTTGTTATGGGGGAGTCCTGATAGGAAAAATCCATATAAAACCCTTTGATAATGACTCTTTTAGGCTTTGAGTGTCGAATTAAGTGTTAGGACGCCTTTTCTACGCCTATTCTAAATAAATTGTCTGACCACTGCACTGCATTAGTGAGCGCGATTCGTACGCTAACTGCTGTTGTTAGGGGACGTGTTTGTGTGCGTCACTCTCTACAGTCCGGTCTTGGAGGCAGGCGTTTTTCCTTGTGTCTCGCCAATTGACCGTTATACAGACAAGATTCCTTGTTCTCTTTTTTATTTACAATGGGTTATGAAGATCCAACAAGTGTCAGTGTCTTGTAGACTGGTTCCTTCTGCCACTACACATTAAGCAATTTACATGTGGTGAATTGTGGTCCTGAACGTGTGGACGATACTTGAGTCGTCGTCTTCTGAGCTCAAGGTGATTGTTCTCGATCAACGCCAGAAACTGTTCCTGCTGGTGAAATAATGTTGGGAAGTCTGGCGACGTGAAGATCTATTCCGGCATCCAGAGAAGCAGCCTCGTTTCTGAGAAGTCCTATCGTAAAGTACGGTAGTCGGAAACTTCGCTCCAGCATCCAGAGGAGATATAAGATCTAAACAGATAAGTCAGAGTGACCCGTATGACGGATTAAATCTAAATGGACCTTTCCAATCCATCCGATTCCTCAGACATGATGATACTGGACAGAAACGTAGAGTAGGAGGAAGACACTCGCACTAACTTTGTTCTTGAAAGTATTCAATATTCTTTCAGTTAATTCTTCAAGTTATTTTTCTTCAGCTTGGTTACAGGGAACCTATTACATTGATTCTCGAGTTCATCTGCCTTCTAGTTCTTAGGAGAGTTTTGTCTAATTGGAGTTCCTTGCGGCATTTATAAACGTAGTCTTGTCTTATCGTATTCACTGTTGATTATTTGTTCGACTGGATTTACATTAATCCAGTCTGGGGGCAAACAGTGGTGAGGACGTCTGGCCGAGAGGTACCCAAGTGTTCATAATAACCCTGTGGAGTCAGAGCTCGTGTCACCTCATCCCTGAGACAGGTTGAATGGAAAGTTTGAACCGAGGGTTAGGCCTCTAGACGAACGAGAGCCACCATTCAAAACACTCCTGTCTCAGAGCACCTGAGGGATTTGTGAAAATATCCTGTAAGTAAGGTGCGCGACAAAACTGCCATACGACAGTCACTATCGTAAAATGTGGTCTCATGTCCGGGATCGTTGTTTATTGTAATTGTAATTTGTCAACAGTGAATTAGAGTGTTCAGTAGTTGTGCTGGACACTTGACCAGCTGGTTGTCATATTGATAAGCTGTCTGGTAGAATTGGTGACTACTTTGAATATATTCCTTATAATCTTCCTAGGAAGAAATAAGAGGTTGTTTCAGTAGTCTTGACAAGCGCTTCTTCCGGTTTTCACTTTGTAGGATTCTATTGGTCCTAGTGATAGGAAGATTGTCTTTCTGAAGTAGTGACAATTGTTCTTCTGGTTTGTGTATAGTGGTTTTGGTTGCATGGCATCACCACTGACGGTTTGTGTCTAACATTTACTATTATCGTAAATTTGTGCATATTTGTTGGATCTTCTTTTAACTATCTTTACAGCTCAACATGGCGCAGTCCAGAATTTCGATTCCAGAGCTGAAAGAAATGGCTGTACAGATGGGACTGGAAGGAAGGGAGTTGACCGATTGGATTAAGACCACAGAAAGAGAAATGAGAATGGAGGCTCGTGAGTCCGAGAGGCTCAGGATCGAATCCGAGAGACTCCAGGAAACTGAGAGACTCAGGATTGAATCCGAGAGACTCATGGAAACCGAAAGACTCAGAATTCAGGCCGAGATAAAGAGATGAAGGAGCTGGAAAGTTCAGGCACAAAGAGATAGCCAGATTTCTAGATCTCAGTCTTCAGAAATGGAGACTGTGTCTACTCACTGCATCTCGACACCTGCCATGAATTTTCCTATGCCTGCCTTTGATGCGAAGCTGGAAACGATTGAGCAGTATATCGATAAATTTGTTAAACTTGCAACTATCTATAATCTTGAGAAAGATAGATATACATTAAAACTGGCACAGGGATTGAGAGGAGAGGCATATGAAATTTTTCAGCGGATGCCCACTGGCTCCGATACTGACTTTGAAGCCCTGTGCCAGGCTTTATTGAAAAGGTTCGAGTTAAATGCTGCTAGTTACAGGCATAAGTTTAGAAATGAAAGGAAAATGATTGGGGAAACTTATCCGCAGATTAAAAAGTTATCTGAGTAAGTGGCGTGAAATGGCTGGCTATGAAGCTTCCTTCGAAGATCTGCAAGAATTGTTCCTAACCGAACAATTAAAGGACACTCTACCGAAGTCAATGCAAACTTTTCTCACCGAGAACGGTGCAGAAAAATTGACTGACATTTTGGTTCATGCCGAACGGTACGAGTTAGCCCATAAGGATGATAGTTCGGGGAAAGCCAAGCCACATAATAATCATGATAGGAATAGTCAGAAAGGTCAGAAAACTCCAACTCCAGGTTCCCCTAAAAAGAGCCCATCCCATGTAAAACACCAGAATCCTTCTAAATTTGGCAGTTCGCAACAGAAACAGTTGTACAATAGTTCTAGAAAACCCTACTGTAGGAATTGCAATAATAATTCCCACCACACTAATGATTGTAAGGTGAAGTCAGCAGGGGGGACTCAATTGTCAGCTATGTTGACGACTGTCGGTTCGTCTGCCGCAGAGAAATTATATAACCGTTCCAATAGGCCACCTGTGGTAGAGAAGGTCTGGGCTAATAAAAAGAGAATTTCTTGTTTATATGATTCGGGGTTGTCCTATTCCGCGGTCTGTTCCCCTGAAATCGTTAGAGCTGATCAGTATACAGGTGAATTTATAGAGCTCAGATGTGCAACTCTTGATGCTCGACCCATGAACTTGCCCGTAGCTAAGATAGAGGTCAAGTCTAGATACGTTACTGGAGAGATTGAGGCGGCCGTTTTGAAACGGAGTACGTTCCCTCTTATTTTAGGAGCTCGTTATGTCTATTTAGCGAATGCCCCTACACCTTCAGAACAGCTTGCGGCGATGACCACCCGTGCGCAACATAAATGTGCCACGGAAGATCAAAGTCACGTAAATCCCTTACCTGACGAGATCAAGGTAGCCCAAGAGACTGACCCTACCCTTAGAGCTTGTTTCAAAAAATTACCTGTCTGTCACACTCCGCCGAGAAGAAATGATTACTTTATGAAAGGTAAATTGCTTTTTCGCGTTGGGAGTGACCAATATACTGAGCATAGTCAGCTGGTCGTGCCACGACCATATCGGCAACAAATTCTCCAAATGGGTCACACGATCGCGTATAGTGCCCATATGGGAATAAATGCCACGACTCAACGTATTTCCTGTCATTACTTTTGGCCGGGTATGACAACGGACATATTACGTTTTGTCAAATCTTGTCCGGGGTGCCAAAGAGTCGCCCCGAAAGGCAAGATTGCACCAGTTCGACTGGGAGAAACTCCCATAATGTCCACTCCCTTCGAGAGAGTGGCTGTCGACTTGGTGGGACCCCTTCCCCTCACGAAAAAGAAGAATGCCTATATCTTAACCCTGGTAGATAGTTGCAGTGCCTGGGGTGAGGCTGTACCGCTTCGTAAGATAGATAGTCAGAGTGTGGCTGAAGCTCTGATTGGCATCTTTACTCGTGTAGGATTTCCCACACAAATCTTGACTGACAACGGATCGCAGTTCAAGGGGAAATTGATGGAGGAGGTGTTTCAAATTCTTAAATCTCATCATATATGCACTAGTCCATATCGACCCCAAGCGAATGGCCAAAATGAGCGATTCAACGGGACGTTGATTTCACTGCTGAGGAGGTTATCCCAAGAGAAACCGGAGAAGTGGGACGAATACGTGGCTGCAGCACTATTCGCTTATCGCGAAGTCCCTAATGCTTCCACCGGCTTTTCACCAGCAACGTTGGTTTTTGGGAGGCCCATTTCTGGTCCTTTGGCCATACTCAGAAAAACGTGGACGGACGAAAATGCAGATGAGACCTTGAGGACCACGTCACGGTACGTGCAAGAACTCAAAGAAAAATTGAAGTTAGGTTGGGACCTAGCTAATAAGAATTTGAATCGTGCTCGTCAACGTTACGCAGCACACTTCAACAAAAAGACGAAGGAACGTAGTCTTGATGTTGGAGATAAAGTTCTGTTACTTTTGCCAACGGGGAGATCCAAGATTGATTTAGCTTGGGCAGGCCCTTATTCCGTGTTGGAAAAAGTCTCTAGAATGCACTACAAGATAAGTGTGAAGGGTAAGTCGAAGGTTTACCATATTAATCTTCTCAGAAAGTATAATGAGAGAGAGGTAAATGGACCGGAGACTCTGTTAGCACTGTCTGTAGCGAAGGAGGTGGAAGGAGGAGAAACCACTGCGGTAGAAGATCCTCTCCATCCCAGGGAAACATACAAGGATGTAGAGATTAACCCTACTCTCTCCTTGTCCCTAATTGAACGGCTCGCACGTCTCTTGTCAGAATGTTCTTCTGTTTTGACAGAGAAGCCTGGGCGTCCTTCGGTGATCGAACACGATACGAAGTTGGTGAATGACGAACCCATTCGCCAACGCCCGCGTCAAAACCCCCCTTCTAAAGAAGAGTCTGTGAGAGGGAAGGTTGACGGCTTGTTGAAGGAAGGAGTGATTTCGTCCTCCGAATCCTCTTCCAGTGCGAACGTCGTTTCATCGGGGAAACGGTCGGGAGAACACCGTTAAATCTCCAGAACGGGGTTATTCATTCGGCTAATCCGGTAACAGATTTGGAGGCAATGTTATTGCGTGGAAAAGTTAATGCTATCTAGATGCCTAAGTCAAGTAAGTTCGTCATTTGACGCATTGCAATAAAGGTATTTTATTTTATATATCTTATTCAGATCTCGAAAGAGCCTTGTTTCGTTCCTGGTGGGAGACTCCGCATAGCGTAGCCAATCCCTATCTGAATTAAATATGCCTTCTGTTATGAAGGATTGTTGAGTCATGTGGTAACAAATATTATATTAGTTTACCGACTTCAACTTTTTGATATATAAAATAGTCTCGAATATTCGGATCTCACATTAGCAGAAGCAGGTACCTTGAGAGGAGGCTCTGCTTGCTAGTCGGTAATCCTCCCTGACTGAACATATTTCGGTTTTCCAGTGAGCTTGGTCGCGTTTCTTGCTATAGATTTGTGAATGACTTAAAGTCTTCCTTAACCGAATGAGATGTTCTAGATGCATAGTTCGGTGACTGAATTCCCGCAATCTATTTGATGAAGTACATGTAAGTTCCTCCAAGTTGCCCTTTTGGCTGAAGAATCTCTGTTTGCTGTGAAACATCACTTGGACTTAATGTCCATAAAAAAACACATTTTTATACACAAACATTTTTATACGTGTATAGTGTGAGTTTCACGGGGCAGACTAACCATCAACCTTTGGTGTTCCTGGCTTCATCTGCCCACCTAAACCCAAGGTTGATGAGATGGTCGTAGCTGCTGCAACCTTATTCGTTCACAGTGGAATATATTCCCGGTGGACAGAATGTGGGAGCAGACTTTTTGAGTCGCCACCCTTCGTCTGCTGACGTGCTGACTGAGGATGGGGACAATGTTGTGGAACCTGTACCTGGTGATGGTTAGATGTGTGATGCTGTCGTTCGATTCGCGTGACGCTCATCTCCTTTTGGGGGAGCTCTGTCGCATGACAGCATCCACACATCTGCCACAGTAGGAAGGTCCATAAGCTGACCACCCTAAAAACTCGTCATCGTAACTATGTAATAGAATAGGCCAAGCATAGTTAGATAGTTCGTTTGTTATGGGGGAGTCCTGATAGGAAAAATCCATATAAAACCCTTTGATAATGACTCTTTTAGGCTTTGAGTGTCGAATTAAATGTTAGGACGCCTTTTCTACGCCTATTCTAAATAAATTGTCTGACCACTGCACTGCATTAGTGAGCGCGATTCGTACGCTAACTGCTGTTGTTAGGGGACGTGTTTGTGTGCGTCACTCTCTACAGTCCGGTCTTGGAGGCAGGCGTTTTTCCTTGTGTCTCGCCAATTGACCGTTATACAGACAAGATTCCTTGTTCTCTTTTTTATTTACAATGGGTTATGAAGATCCAACAAGTGTCAGTGTCTTGTAGACTGGTTCCTTCTGCCACTACACATTAAGCAATTTACATGTGGTGAATTGTGGTCCTGAACGTGTGGACGATACTTGAGTCGTCGTCTTCCGAGCTCAAGGTGATTGTTCTCGATCAACGCCAGAAACTGTTCCTGCTGGTGAAATAATGTTGGGAAGTCTGGCGACGTGAAGATCTATTCCGGCATCCAGAGAAGCAGCCTCGTTTCTGAGAAGTCCTATCGTAAAGTACGGTAGTCGGAAACTTCGCTCCAGCATCCAGAGGAGATATAAGATCTAAACAGATAAGTCAGAGTGACCCGTATGACGGATTAAATCTAAATGGACCTTTCCAATCCATCCGATTCCTCAGACATGATGATACTGGACAGAAACGTAGAGTAGGAGGAAGACACTCGCACTAACTTTGTTCTTGAAAGTATTCAATATTCTTTCAGTTAATTCTTCAAGTTATTTTTCTTCAGCTTGGTTACAGGGAACCTATTACATTGATTCTCGAGTTCATCTGCCTTCTAGTTCTTAGGAGAGTTTTGTCTAATTGGAGTTCCTTGCGGCATTTATAAACGTAGTCTTGTCTTATCGTATTCACTGTTGATTATTTGTTCGACTGGATTTACATTAATCCAGTCTGGGGGCAAACAGTGGTGAGGACGTCTGGCCGAGAGGTACCCAAGTGTTCATAATAACCCTGTGGAGTCAGAGCTCGTGTCACCTCATCCCTGAGACAGGTTGAATGGAAAGTTTGAACCGAGGGTTAGGCCTCTAGACGAACGAGAGCCACCATTCAAAACACTCCTGTCTCAGAGCACCTGAGGGATTTGTGAAAATATCCTGTAAGTAAGGTGCGCGACAAAACTGCCATACGACACCAGACATACAGGAAGTTTTGTCAGCCAGCTTAGAATTGTCACTATTAACCACAGGAAGCTGATATATGTGTTGAAGGCAGAATCTGGATACCTAATAGGTCCTATAAACATGTCTAGAGAGCCCAACTCATAACTCGTGACAAGGTCTGAACAACCATAAGGACAAAACAGTTCTAGTAGCTTGACATTGACAAGACAGGGCTGTTTTTGCTGGGTACTGATAATGAGAGTGTTCTTGAATGTACAGTATAAGCTCTGGATGGAAGTGATAGAGATTTATTACTGCCAGAGCTCTTTAATTGTTGATAAAAAGCTGTGTGACTAAATCATACTTTGAACTAAATTGAGTGGGTGAGTGACACCCAACACAACCAGGACCAGAAAAAGAGCAATAAACACCTGATGACGCAAAGGGCCACCAGTAGGATCAGAACCACATTGATACAAGTCCCAGAAACCCAGTTCAATCATAGGTTATATTAGGTCCCCCAACTTCAGCCGGGGTGGAGTTTTAAAACAACGAACAGCTGTGTCCCACAATGAGGTGGGATGGAACTACATTATACTGCATAAACATGTTGACATAATTTTTTGCTAAAACAGGTCTGGTTACACAAAATTTAAATGTGTAATTGTTCTGATTTTAGGACACAACTGTTATGACCTTACTGGGTGATGAAATGGAATCTGCACTCTCAGATACTGCAACTTCGAGTAAGTAAACAAATAAATGGCAGCATGTCTATCCTTGCCTCCCCCTTACTTCTCTGTTTTGCTCCTTTAATGACACACAATCGATTACTAATCTCTCTGTCTGTTTCTCTCTTTCTGTCTCTGTGTGTGTGTAATCTATTTAATAATAATTATATGCTGAGTAAGTTAACACTTTGCATCAGCTTCATATCAGATCATTATTCCTATTCCTTCTGTGTCGTATGACTAGGTACCTAACCTTGTGTCATTTGTAAGTTTTCAAGTTTATCTCTACTCTTAACATGTTCAGGCAATATTGACTCTTCACTAATTTCTGAAGTTAATTTTTGTTAATTGTTATTTTAAATGTTTGTTGCCATTTTAAGTAATCTAAGATGTTTATATACATCATAAACCACAGGCTCCAGTGCATGTGGTGAAGACTTACTACCTGATGTGGAAAATCGAGACCGTGAGGAGCTGAAGGTGGACGTAGAAGACCAAGGCAAGATCCGGTTTGGTGTGTGGGTGAGCTTTGCTGAGATATACAATGAACAGATATTTGATTTGCTGGAGCCTTTCCCACGGAAGAAAAATGCCAAAAGGCCACCACTGAAAATTTGTGATGACCGAAACGGAAACCCTTACATCAAAGGTACAGTATTTTCCCCCCTTTAGTTTTGTTGTTGTTTGTGTGTGAGTGTGTTTGCTGTACTGGATTATAATACTCCTTTATGTTTGAATAAGCTTCAAACTATATTTTTTTTAGATGTTGCAAAATATCTGGAAAAAAATCCATTGTTTCCTCAAGTGTTGCTTTCTTTCATAATAATCATGACCTGCCGATACTTTGGTGATTTTGGTTTCATTAAGTTTCTATGCTGTCTGTGAATATACACTGGTACCACAGTATCTGCCCTTAATCCGATCCAGATCCTTTGATTTATACCAGATAGGGCATATACCAAACAAAAGTCCTCATAGAAATAAAAGGAAGAATTATTAATCCATTCCTATGAAATGATCCTATTGTTTTTGGCTTATTATACATTGATGGGAGTTGTATCAAATAGTTTGAACACTGCCTTATACTAAAATACATAAACACAAAAGCAATTAGATAAAATGAATACAAAATTTAACATCATTTTACCTAGTTGAGGGGGAGGAGGAAATGTTATTGTTTGGAAAGGGAGCCTCATTCCATTAAAACTTCAAAAATCGTGTAATTCTGGTGTATTGCCTTTTTCTTTCCCTGTCCCCTTTTCCCTACTTAGACCTTGTTAAGGCTCACAAGTTCTAGCACTTGTTTTCAAAACAAAAACAGCAGAATTGTTTTCCTTTGTGACTGCATGTTATTCCTCCAGGCGACTCAGAGGGATCCACAAGACATTATGGAGAAAGAACTGAATAGCCAGCTAAACACTCTCAGAAAGCTATCAAATCATTCTCCAGTGGATCCTGGCTCACTGCGGCATACCAAGAAATGAGTTAGCAGACAGACTTACAAAAAATGGAACAAAGGAGAAACACACGCCCATTCATTGTCATTACCAGAAATCAAAGCACTCATCAAGGGAAAATACAAGGGATTGTGGAGAGAATTAACCAACAGTTAACATCTACAAGACCCCATCAGCAGACTCAACACATAGCAACATACAACAATTTTCCATCTAGGAAGAGGACACTGCAGGCTCAACTATCGCATGCATAAAATATTGATTATACAGTCCCCACAGTGTACCTGTCAGACAGGACCACAAATACCTGAGCACATTCTGCAGACCTGCCCATTCTACCTACAACTTCGAAAAAACACCTGGTCTCAAGAGCAAAGTGCAGAGTAAGCTATGTGGACCATAACGGACCTGCTGCTGGCATATAAGTTCATAGAGGCAATCCACCTGATGGTCTGATCAGAGCATACGAAACCGAACGCAGAACAAAGGCTTTATAGCAAGCACAATTTTTGGGGGCGTCTAAACAGGAATAGTTGGGGCAATTTTGGTGTAACAGGTGATCTACAGGAGTGTGAAAACTATAGAGGAATCATGTTGCTGTCAGTTCCTGAAAAAAAATTAAGCAGGATTATTTTGAGAAGACTAAAAGATGCTTTTGATAAAGATAAAGCTACGAGATGAACAGGCAGGTTTTCAGCCAAACAGATCCTGTACTGACCAGATAGCCTCATTACGTATAATAATAGAGCAAAGCATTGATTTGAATTCACCACTTTACATTGGATTCATTGACTATGAAAAAGTTTTGACAACAGTTATAAAGAATCTCTCTGAAAATTAATGAGCCACTATGGAATCCCACAGAAAATTATTAACTTAGTAAAGGCAACACATTGAGACATGAAATGTCGAGTTTTTCATGAGGGAAAACTAACAGATACATTTGAAATAAAAACAGTTGTGCGAGAGGGATGTCTTTTGTTGCCCTGTCCTATTTTTACTGGCAGTAGACTGGATTATGAAGACAGAAACTGCTAACACCTAGAATGGAATTCAGTAGACCCAAACAAAACAGCTTGATGATCTGGACTTTGCTTGTGATATTTCTCTTCTGTCCCACTTGCGGAATCAGATGCAAGATAAATTAAATATACTAGATGCAAGATCACAACAGCTAGGTCTGAAAATCCGTAAGGAAAAAACAAAGATAATGAGAATAAATCAGACAAATAGTAATTTGGTTTCTCTTAATGGTATTCCACTCCAAAACGAGGGGTCTTTCAATATTTGGGAAGTAATCTAGATAAGTATGGGGGAAACTGATAGATATTAAAATAGAAATACAAAAGGCAAGAGGAGCTTTCATAGCACTAGTGAATTTGTGGTCGAAAACATTCAAACTAATACTAAACATGAAGTTTTAAATTCTAATGTCAGATCGGTACTGTTGAATGGAGCGGAAACATGGAGAACAACTGAGGCAATTACTAATAAACTACAAACATTTGTTGACTGGTGTCTGCGCAGAATAGAGGGAATGTAATGGTATGATAGTCACTAATGTAGATCTTTTGAGAGAACTAAACAAGTTTCAGTTTACCAAGCGGTGGAGAAAAGGATAAAACACATGTTAATTTACCAAAATGTCACATTTGTTTCTTCTTGAAGGCTTGAAAGAGATTCATGTGGAATCAGCTGATGAGGCTTATCGTCTTTTAACTATTGGTCAGAGAAATCTGCAAACAGCGTGCACTCGCCTCAACCATTGCTCATCTCGCAGGTAAATTATTTTTGTTTGTCCTTAATTCTGATTTATTTTTTATATTAGCAACTATCTTTCAACTCTTGACAGTTAAATTTCCCTTATGGCATTTTACTTTTTGTTTTTTAAAACATTACTGTTGGGGCAAAATTAATTTCTTATTACAATACAAATATACCCAATCTTTCCTATATTAAGAGACTCCTAATTGTGCAAATATCAAATTTCAGTGGTCAATATGTTTAATTTGCTTATACATCTCATCTGAGTATGGTTCTTGGATAAAATTCCAGTCAAGGCTACAAGATCTGTGCTTGTAGGAAGCTTCTTCTCTGAACATGTTACCGCTAAAGAACTTTCACAATCTGTTCTGATTTTTAGTTGTCACAGGCTTTTCTAATGTGCACAATTGACTGTTATATGAGAAGTCAAGGCATCTGCTGTCATAACTCAAGAGACTGCCAGGACCAATTGTTTGTTACTAGTTTTGTGTCATTTTTATTAGCACTGGAACAGAGCCAGTGGGAGCCAGCATGCACTGGATCGCAAATTATTCCTCCCCATGGCGCTTAATGGCAGAAGTGGTTTCTGATGATGATGACTAGAACAGAGCAATTGTGGGGTGACTCATTTGCAGTAGAGTTGAAATCTTGACCACCGGCTGGGGGGAAAAAGGAGATCCGGGAACCCACACACACCACCACTAAATATAATGACTAGGTGTTAACTGAAGTTGTAATTTACAGGTGGGATTTTTTAAGATAAAGTCAGCCTACCTCATTTTTCTTGTACATTCACAGTTCGGCTGTGATATTTGCCTTTTGGCCCAACACTTCAGATTTCAACAAAGTCCTAAATTAGTTAACCTTTTACAGCACACTAACTATAGAGCAGTGAGCCTGTTCTCTGTACCTCAAAATGGGGCCTGAGAATGCACGCTGGGAAGCCTACATCAGAATACTTATGCAGTGGGTAGTCACGAGATCTGTAGACATCTTACACGTCTCAACCTGAATTTTGATAATGGAATTCAGCGGCACCATCTAATTTTCTAGTGTACATTCATCATAGAATTTGTGTATAAATCATTTTTTAAAGCCTATCTCTTGTCTGATTTTAATCATATTTCTATTTTCAGCCACTGTATGTTCAACATTAAAATTGTCCGTGTTGTTGACAAAGATGATCCTCATATTGCTAGAGTTAGCATGTAAGTATACTTGTAATTGTTATTTGTATTTATTCTTCTTTTATGTTCACTGGCTGAAAACCCTGGTGCAAAGTTCTGGTTGTTCATCCTCCTGAACTTGGGCTTATTTATTTATGTGCAGACTTTTTTTTTTCTTCTTCTCAGGCCGGGTTGCAGACTTCGAAGAAAACATCCCTAATTTACTTGCCTTTTACCCCATGATTGGGAGGGGGGGGGGATCTATTCTGTTTCTCCCAAAATGAGGCACCCTAACTGACATGGGGACTTTGTGTTTTACGCTAATGAAAGTCCTTATCTGTAGGTTCATTGCGATTTCCCATGATCTGAAAGAGCATTTGAATATATTTGGTGTATCATTTGCTTATATACGCATGCAATTAGCAGTAAATTGTGATGTCTCAGTGAAACATTTTGTTAAAATGCTTCATCTATAGAAAGGTTATCTTATTTGATATATGTTTAATTTGTCAAAAATTATTAAACAAGTCAAGTAGATAAAATTGGTGCTTAACCGGTCAAAAGTGGCTCCCAAAAATGTTAAGTTTTTAAAGCTTCAAGTATTCTGCACTCGCTCTTAAAAGGGTGGTTGGCATGTTGTGTTGTGGTTTGAACCTGGGCTATGATATCTGCATCTACAATATAAAACATACCATTTCAGGAGACTGCTACAATGTGCTTGCCAGTGGCAGTGAGTCTAGTCCCCATCCCCAGTGTGTGGCCTCAAAAATTATTTGTGCCATTTAGTTAATTGTGGTTTTGAGATCAAAAACCATCACTTGGCTTAATCCCTGTCACTCCATAATGCTTTAAAAAATGTGTCATGACTCACTGATTCCCCAGAAAATCTTTACAAAACAATTTTATGCAGGTCACTACTGCCTTTGTTTCTGATATTTGAAATATATAAAGAGTTAATAATAAACACTGAGTATTAAGGGCAATGGTATGGGACGTCGCAGGTCGACCCAGCCTAAAATGGGTACCAGGATGGGCTGTCCTGGGAAAGTAAAGACAGCCGGCGTAATGCTGACCACATTACCCACAGAGTACTGATGGTCTGTAAAAATATGGGACGCACTGCCCATATGCCCGATGCGCCGAAAGGCGTGAAAAGGGATCTTTACTTTTTTTAATTAAGGGCAATACATTGCTATGACCGTTATCGTTGAGGGTTACTGGAAAATTTGATGTTAGCTTGGCTTTAAAAAAAAGCTATTTGGTTCATAGGGTAACACACATACACACCATTAGCTAGTGTATTTATACCTTCTAAATGTTTGTTCGCAGGCGTCAACTCACCCAGTAGCATTAACTATGTCTTCTCGTGAATAACTCAAATAAGTGACATTTACGGGGAAATTGTTCCAGCTAATATGTAAGTTTTCTGGTTTTCCGAGGCGACTGAGTAAAGCACTCTTTGTAGAATACCAGGCAACTTATATTTGACTACAGTCTAAGTGTTTTCATGACTCTTTAACAGTGCTGATATACTTACTATTTTTCCCACTTTCTTTGAACATTTCTTGTCTTGCAGGTTATCGCTGTGTGATTTGGCTGGATCCGAAAGGTATTCAAAAACACAGGCTACGGGTGATCGGTTGAAAGAAGCAGGCAACATCAATTCATCTTTGATGACACTGGGGCGGTGTATAGAGACCTTAAGATATAATCAGTTGCACAGGTACAATAATTACTATAAGTTTGGTTAAAAATAATATCATAATTGATACAGTCCTAAATCTGTCTCCTCAATATTCCCTTGACCTATATTGAGTGTCCAGGATGTGTTGAAATAGCTCTTTTGTTACTTGGCTAACTCCTACTCCATACTTCTGTGACTTCACTCACAAAACTCGGCAGGGTGACAACCAGTTGCGTTGGTTGAACCACTTCCATAAATCTGTATGGGCAGAATTTCACAGAACAAGAGTAAGATCCAGAAGTGGATGAAGAACCAGAACTTTCCGCAGGAGTTTTACCGCCAAAGAAGAAGAATCAGCATTTAGGCAGATTTTTATAAAAGACCTGAGCTGTCAGATCAACCCAACCTAAATATTGTGAAAAGGGTCCTTTACTTTACTCTGTTTGCTGCCAAAAATATCTTAATTTATCAGTTGTTTCCTTTGAGTCTTGGCATCTTTTACTTGTTTGTTATTTAGTTAGTTGTTCACAGTTTTAACTTTACCGCAGATGAGTTACCCTATAATTACTCTGGTCCTGTGCTTGAGGTAGCTGTAAGATGGAGGAGAAGTAAAAAATGAGGAGAGGAGGAGGCAAACGATACAACTTTTCAAATCCTTGCTTAGCGCTCTCCTACATCCGTCTCTACACATATTTGCTTATCTATCACAGCAGGGCCTTAGTCCACCGTTAGAATAACAGTTCATTGTCAATTGAATCAGCAGTTACAGAAAATCACCAGTTGCACACACAATAATTGCATTAGACATCGCCAGTTCTTATCAGAGTTACAGTGAATGATTATGGCCTATTGTAAACATGATTACAATGATTCAGCTACTGTGAATTATTGTGGCCTATTATAAACATGATTATAATTATTCAGATACTGTGAATGATTGTGGACTATTATAAACAGATTACAATAATTCAGGTACGATAAATGGACTATTATAAACATAATTACAATAATTCAAAAAAAATCTAAAAATGCACACTACATTCTCTTTTCAACAGGGATCAACAGAGACTGGTTCCTTTCAGGGACAGTAAATTGACACGCATGCTCCAGAATTACTTCAATGGAAGTGGCAGAGCTGCTATGATTGTGAATGTCAGTCAGAGTGCCTCCATGTTCGATGACACTTTACATGTCTTCAAGTTCTCTGCCATTGCCAAGCAGGTGAAGTACATTGAGAAACCCCCCGAACCGCCCAAGAAGCAGAAGGAGAAGAAAGTCCTTCCTCCAGTGCAAAGGCCATCAATAGAATGGGAGGTGCATGGTAAGGATTTTCTTCAGTTGATTGTTGCTGGTTTTTATAAATATTTTTTTCCCCAGTATAACTGTGAGGGATTCTAGTTAGTTATGTCTTTTTCCCTGTGTGGGTTCAGGGTCCTCACTGTGGGAAAAACAAGAATAAACCCATTGCATACCCAACAAGTCTGTGGTAAGAATTGATTAATTTCCTTCGAAGTCGATGTGTATCTGCCTGAACTGCAAGGCGCAAACAACTGCACACAAATAAGCCATTAAAACAGATGTACATGCAAAACTCAGGCCCTGGGTCAAAGTCCAAATGGACAAACAGCCAGGACTTTCAGCCAGTGAACAAAGGAGAAATAGATTCGTCTTCTGAGGTCTTCACAAACACAGCCCTAGCGTTTTTTTACAGCTGTCTAGTCTCATCAAGGTTTACATTTATTAGTCTACGTGTGCTTTATCAATGATTCAAAACTCAATGCAAAGTGTTGAACTATCAAACTTAATTAAATTTCCTACCAAACTGCCTATGTCAAGATTGTGAATCCTTGTTCACAATGCCTAAAACAGAAACTATAGAGAGAACTAAACAATTCTCAGTGTATTTAGAGCTGAGGAAAAGATGGACATCTTAAAAACACAGATATGAGAATTAAAGATAAATGAATTATGTTGAGAGGACAATAAGTGAAATCAAATGCCAAATACTCCACATGTAAATTCTGGGGCCTCAGTTTGGTTATGAGGGTTGATAGACCCCTCACACTTTGCAATAATCTGCTTTACATTACACTGACTCGTTGTCTAGAGAATGATATATGTCGTGAATGCTCTTGGCACACATTCAACGATGACATAACTGGGACAAGCCGACACCGACTTAGCCGGACGAAACATCACTTTATTGACATCTTAGAACTTACATCATCGTCCAGTTGTTGTCCTAAGAAAACAGCTTTCACACAGTACATCATGCAGACTACAACATGCTGGTTCCTCACGCAGTCACTGACCAGAGTTTGCAAAGATGTATCTGGTTCATCTTCTTGACATTATACAGACTTGCCTGGCTGGCCCTGGCTTCAAACGTCATCGTCTGGTTTTCCTTTCACGCCAAGCAATCTCACGTTGACATTCTTACACTCAGTCTCCCGTCCTTTTGCTCCGACAGTTCAACACATACTAACTTGATCAGACTGGAGTCTGAACATATACCACGGGTTACTTCCACGTGGCGACCTGTGGTCGCGTCATCGTGTTACACATGATAACTCATGGTCATCACCTATCTTGAAAACCTTGTTTAATCCGAGTATCTGGAATATCTCGGTATTTGGGTTAACCTTGAGCCTACCCCCCCCAACCTTCCTAATCTGGGTGAAAATATATCCCATTACACACTTGTAAAAGGCAAGTGATTAGGGTTTTGCTGAAATTGGAAATGTTAGGCCAAAAGATGTAGATATTGCATTCTAGCTGAAAACCATAAAACAGCGAGCTACCATCTTTTTGAAGACAAACACAGAAGACGAAGAGATGCTGCATTTTGAATGTATCTGAAACTTTTCTTTCTCTCACTTAAACAGCGCCAACGGAGAATCCTATTCTAAAAGATGCGCAGAATAAACCGCTTCCTGATGATGAAGAATATGAAGAAGAGGAAGATTCTGAAGATAACCAGGATGAGAACATCTCAGACAAATGTCAAATTCAAAAACTGAGAGCCTGTATTCAGGTGAGTAAACATGCATTTGATTTTAGTCCCTCACACATACGTCCAAAGTGGAGACTGCAATATTAAAACCAAAATGACTTAATGAGCCACTTTTGGGCAGGAACCTCACAGGAGTGATACAGACACCGTACCCTGCCCAGCTGCATTAAACAATAGAATTAAAGCACCAGTAGCTTAAATTACCACTGATGATTTCTACAAAATATTGTCTGTGTGCCATTTTCAGAGTTTGCAGCAGCGCAATGAACGACTAGTGGAAATGCTGCAGGAAGAGCTTGAGGCGTCCAGCAACCTTGAGAGCCGCGTGAGACAGGAAGTCACACAAGCCATGATGAAACAGGTTGTCAACATTGAGGAGACATACAGGTAGCTATCTCTAGGAGAGAGGCGGCAATAAATAAGTAGGAACCATTTGTCATCCCGCAACACTGCATATTTTTGGTTCACCAGTTGACTGATTGGCTCCCTCCACCCTCTGGCAGTCAGATGCAGTGGACTTCATGGTCGCTTGCCGTAGGTCTATCCAGTCAGTCAGTATCTAGATCTTTCTTGGTCGGTCTGCCTCTTCCTCTTGCCCTGTAGCATTGTTTTTGAGAGGTGGTTAGATCTTATTACATGCACCATTGCATTTTCCATCTTTTCACTCTTGTTAATAAAAAAAAAAAAGCTTTCATAGTTGCCAATAAATAGAAAAATGTGGAAAGGTTCAGATACTGCCAGAATGCACCATGTATAGATCCTATATATATGTGTGTGTGCACATGTGCGCATGCACACACACACATACATACATACATACATACATACATACATAAATACATACATAAATACATACATTATATATATATATATATATATATATATATATATATATATATATATATATATATATATATATATATATATATATATATATATATATATATATATATATAACTGTTAATGGCATTGAAAATAACTAGGGATCAATAGTTCAATTATACCTGGCATGTTTTTATAAAGTGATGATGTAAACAGGGGCAACTGCACTTTAGCTAATGTCAAGGGGGAAAAAAGGGAAATGCGGCAGATATCCAGGTTTTCTTCTGATGTTGTTGACCTTACAATAAAGTACCCCTTTTCAATGCTTTCCGGCCTATTTGACTGAACATATATTTTATAGATCAATTGGCACTCGATGATGTAGTCAGCATCAAGCTGATCACCTTTACTCCCCAAGACTTTACATGATACCAGTTTAAGGCTGGGTTGGCCTGGGAGCCACTACAGTTTCCTCATGTTGACCTTGTCAGTTGTTTTATCCATTGATAAAGACATTGGTTGTATTTGTGTGTGCCCTCTCCTTTCTCTTACACAGCTTTTGGTCATAGTTTGTGTTATATAGTTTTTCTTGTTGAGTATTCCTAGCATAACAGTTAATTGCCTCTGTTTGTTCTCATTTCTGGTTTTTGTGATTCTTGTTTATTCATTAAGAATTTTGATCAAAAAGTTTGGTTGTATCTGTCTTCATATTGCTTCTCCCTTCATTGAGTATCATGGCATATTATGTGTTGTTTTAATTTTTTTTTTACCTTCATCAGGCTAGGTTTTGAGCAGGCTTTCTTTTATTAAGCTAGACTGTATTTGATTAAACTTGGTATTGAACAAATTTAAGATTGGCCAATCAGCCATGTGTACATGTGGACTGGCACCTGAGACAACAGATCCCATCCTCCAAGACTGTCCCAGATTCAACGCTTGCAGGCAAAACTTCTGGCCACAAGAGACACTTGTGGAAGTCAAACTTTACGGGCCGCTTAGTGAATTTCATGCAAACGAAAGAAGAAGAAGGTATTGAACAGTGATGCTTAAGCTCATCATTGAGCAAAGCATATATTTATTAAGCAACACCCTGTTTGTGTCGTTCACCTCCCACCAGGACCACCATTCGGACTTAGATCACCCGGCACAAGTCTCAACAACCCTGTTCAACCGTTTAGTTATATTAAGGCTCCCGACTACAGCCAGGGTGGGGCATAAAACAGTGTAAAATTATGTCACACAATGTGGCAAGTTTTTGTGTGCTGTGTGTGTATGTGTGAGCACACTGTTTCAGCCTAGAACCCCTATTGTTTTAGTTTTACATGTTATAAATAGTGGTTTACAATTTCCAGTGCTCCAGGTTGTCACATGTGTTTTTGTATCGTTAAAATTAGTGCATACATTGTTGTTTACTTGGTAATGCTTTTCCTTTTTTTGTTTTATCATATAAGAAACAAATGGGGTTTTACATTTAACAGATATTGGTTGACACTTCTAGAGAATGAATGATTGTAATTACTTATGACTAATTTCACTGCCATTTTTTTGTTTCTTTCACAGTGCCTTACTAAAAGAGACAAATGAAGATGCCCAGGAGATAGCTGATGAGCGTGTGAAAGGCATTATGGAGGTGTACGAGCAGCGGATAGAGAGAATTCAAAAGAAAATAGATGAAGATGATGAATGGGTATCAAGTTTACTGTACTGTCAGGAGCAAATGAAAGTGCAGGTTGGTGATATATTTACGGCTTCTAAATTTATTTAAAAGTAATTACAAGCGTGGTGCTGTAAAACAAAATTGCTGAGAACATTTTGGGAAGATAAAGGATGCATAAACCATCTTAAAACTGTATTAAATACTGGGAGGTAGAGAAAGTTAGAAAAAACACACAAAGAGACCCATGTTAAATTTATGTAATAGTGTTGTAGTCTCTTAATGACTATCCAATGTCACATTCATCATTTTCTTCACAATCAGTAGTGGAAAAGTTCTAGTTAGGTTGTTGTGTCTATTTCTGAACTTTAGTCTTGTTCCAAAACCCAAGTTGTGCATGTACATCCGTTTTACAGGGCTGACTTATTTGTATGTAGACTATCTCAGGGGGATGCACTCCAACTTCAAAGGATATGCTCCCCTAATTAGTGACCTTTACGACATGCTTGTCGGTGGGGTGGGAGGGGGGGGGGGGCATTGGGTCTATTCTCTCTTCTCTTCCACTGTGGGTTCACCAGAATCCACACGGAGAACAAATGTTACATTCCTACTGTATATGTTTATGTGAAAGCTCATTAACCTTGATTGTTTTATGTTTAAGGAAAGGGATGCAGAAATTGCTGAGCTGAATTCACAGTTGGAGAAACTGAGGGAAGAACATGCCATTTCACAGAAAAAGGTATGATTATTGATTTGTGATTCTTGTGAATTAGAATATTGTTTTGTGAAGTACTGCAGATTACCTTTCCAGGGTAAAGCATATGTATGGTGTCTAGCCAGTTTCCTTTGTGCTTTAGAGTAATATGGGAGCTAACATCATCTTCTTTGCATTCACTGGCTGTAAACTCTGGTGGAATGTTCTAGTTGTTGGCCCAGCTCTGGACTTTAGCCTTGTTCCAGAACCTGAGTGTTGCATGCACATCCATTTTACAGATGTGACTTGTTTGTATGCAGACTGTTAGTTCCATGTCTCTCAAGGCAAATACACTCTGACTTTGAAGGATGCCTCCTGTATCATGCTTGTTGGGGAGGCAGGGGGTCTGTCTATTCTTGTTTCCCCCCACAGTGGGGCCTCAGAATCCACATAGGGTGGGAGCAACATGATGTAGTAGCTAAACACTTCACCTCCAGCCTGAAGGTATTTGGTTCGAGTCAGCATTGAATCTTATTTTTCTATTCAAATATGACCTTGGCTTTGAGGTCGACCCAGCCTGAAATGGGTGTCAGGTAAAGTTGACTCGTGGGATGTTGACCACATTACCCCCAACACAAGATAAAATTGGTCAAAAAAATTTTATACGAGCCCAGAATCATGTGCTCGATTGAAAAAAGCATTTACCTTCTTACTCAGAGTAATATCACTATTCATTTACACTGTATCAGGTGTTCAAACCTTTTAACTGAATCTGTTTAATTCAAGTGGGTATGTCTAGTTTAGCTGTGCTTTTATTTCCACTGGTTGAGGAAAAGACATGAATGTGTCACTAAAATATCCACAGGATGAGAAAATTGAAGAGCTAGAGTCACTGATTGCTGAGGCTGGAGAAGTGTACAACAAGCACACAGCAGAAATATCTCAACTGACAGAGGAGAAAGCTAAGATTGAAAGTCAGGTATTCACTACAAACCCAGATGTTTTGTGTATGAGTAGATTTTTTAAATAAATATAACATTTAGTGCCTCTGTTTGTGCCTTTCTCTATCTGCATCTCTCTCTCTCTCTCTCTCTCTCTCTCTCTCTCTCTCTCTCTCTCTCTCTCTCTCTCTCTCTCTCTCTCTCTCTCTCTCTCTCTCTCTGCATATCTCTCTCTCTCTCTATCTGCATATCTCTCTCGTGAAAGGGCTTTAGATACTGCAGGATCAGGCTTTTAGAAATGTCCGCTCTCTCTCTCTCTCTCTCTCTCTCTCTCTCTCTCTCTCTCTCTCTCTCTCTCTCTCTCTCTCTCTCTCTCTCTCTCTCTCTCTCTCTCTCTCTCTCTCTCTCTCTCTCTCCCTCTCTCTCCCTCCTTCCTGACCTCCTGACCTCTATCTGATTTTGTTATGATTTCTGTCATCCCTTTCTTGGTGTCTCTTATTCTGTCACATTGTGTGGGTTTATCAATTTCATCTCTTTCTCTCTGCTTCTGTGTCTCTATCTGTCTGTCTCCCACCCTTGTAGTTTCTTCCAGTGCCCCTTTCCTTGTCCCCAAACTCCATTCCCTCTCACACTCCCTAAATACACACACACACAGATAGATGTTATTATTTGGCATATTTATGAGATGAGTATAACTATTTAACTAACCAATCTTTGTCTAGCACAAACTTGTTAGTGTTTATTGATTTCTCTAAAAAAAAATTGTAATTGTCTGTTAACAAATAATGTTTACTGTTGTCTGAGTGACACTGTACCTGTTTACAACAAATGTGCAATATTTGCACCTTTCAGCTGACACGTCCAACTTTATTGAGCATTTGTTGACCAGGTTAACGTCCCAGATAGTTCCATGGGACCGGGACATGTTGTGGCCCATTTGTTTGGTGTTCTCTTTGTCTCCTTGTCTACAGGTGTTGCCCCTGTGTGTAGACAGGATGCATCAGGCATGGGTCCACCTTTAGGTCCCCTTCTCTAGTAAGTTAAGCCAAGGGTAACGGACATGTGAACCTTTCTGCCAATAAGTAGGACTTTTTAGTCAGACATTTGGGGCTTTGTTTCTGCCATAGGACATGGTGGTGTACGTCAGCACGGTGATGACAACATTGAGGAACAGCAAGGGATGTAGTTAGGCAGGTCTATTTAGGGAGTCTAGGCTGCAAGCAAATCTCTTGTTATAGGGCTGGATTTGAGCAGTGCAGTAGTTCTTTCCACTTGGCAGACATTTTAACTAAGAGTTGTCATTTAGTAGGGTGTTCGTACATAATACTCTACATGTCTGTATATGAGAGAAAGAAGAGAGTGAATTTTCTGACCAAAAAGTATCTGCATAGATTTCCATATACCTAGTTAATTCTATAAATATTCGGTACAGCCCTAGTTATAACAACACATGGGGCATTCCTGTAAGCACTCCTCTCCCATCTTCAGCAACAAGTGCAGAGTTCCAATTCCAATGGTACCAGTAAAAGTCTGATTGTATATCTGTCTCATCTTTCCCTCGAGTCTGTGATGATCTGTTTGCGTCTCTGGACTGTTTACTCGTTCCCAGTTTACTCGTTCTATATAGGCGCACGCACGTGCGCGCACACACACACACACACACACACACACACAGAGACAGACACACACAAACATATATGTGTATGTTTATTTATTTTTCTTGTTTTAGCTGTCTGCCTTGAAAGATGTGGAAATTCAGCTCGAGGAAATCATGTCTAACAACAATTCTCTGCAACAGTCTTTGAAAAACAAAGAAGCTGAATGGAAAGCTCTAGAAGGAAAACTGATTAAAAAGATTGAGAACAAAGATGCTACAATTACTTCCTTACAAGATGAATGCAAGGAGTTGCAAGGTACATTTTGAATGTCGAGAACTGTTTTGTATTTCTTCCTGTGTGGGTCCTAGAAGCCCCATTTTATGGGTGAAAGGAAGAGACCCACTCTCCTCTAACAAGCATGTCGTAAAAGTTGATTAATTAGGATTAATAAATTCAGATGTTTTATGCTGAAAGGCCTAGAGGCCACAGCCTAGCTGTAAACCTTAACACAGCTTACCGACCCCACCCTATTTAGTACATAGGTAATATGGTGGCAAGTAAGTGGAGCTACAGAGGAATGAATTGCATTTTTTTAAAGCAAAGTTTATATCTTTCTCCTTCTGTCCCCCCCCCCCCCCCCCCCCCCCCCTCCTTGCAACCCTCAAATGAATTAAGACCTGTAACCAGCTCATGCCAGGCCCTTAATTGGAGCTAGTTTTCGCACAAGATGCGATAGCTAGTCTCAGTATAAGATCATCGCTCTGCAGGATCAGAAGTTCCGGCAAATGATTCATGACAATTCTCGCCCCAGATGATGTGATTATCTATACAGATGGCTCTGTTAAGAGGCATAAGAAAAGCATAAGGGTTGAGAATGGAGGTGGAGGCAATCACTGCAAACTTTTAGCTGGCTAGAGATCCAGCAGTAAACACGCTGTAATTCTGACGTCACAGAGCATGTTAAAAAAGATGGAGACAGGTACGCTCCACGCAGAGTGACAAGCATCATTTTTGAGGTCCCTTTAGAGAGTCCTTTAGATATTGTTTCCAGGTGTGCCAGTGGGATGGAAAATTAACAGCCAGATAGACTGACTGATTCTGGACGACTTGGTGTTGAATTGATGCCTAATAAATTAGATCTTGTAAGGGTTTCTTGGGAACGAGTAAACAGTCCAGAGGCGCAAACAGATCATCAGTCTCGAGGGAAAGATGAGACAGATATACAATCAGACTGTTACTGGTACCATAGGAATTGGAACTCTGCACTTGTTGCTGAAGATGGGAGAGGAGTGCTTACAGGAATGCCCAATGTGCTGTTATAACTAGGGCTGTACCGAATATTCGCTTCGTATTCGCTTCGGGGCCGAATAGTGGACCTAATAACTATTCGGTATTTGGCCGAATAGTTGCGGTCGGGCCGAATACGAATCGTGGTTACCTTACACCCGTTTCTGGACTGGTGGAAAATAAACATATCAAGATTTCCCACCTTGGTTCATACTGTCAAGCTTTTCTTTGTGCACCACCTACGAGCGTACCAAGTGAGCGTCTGTTTAGTACAGCTTGAATAGCCTTCAGTGAGACGAGAAGCTGCCTTAATGCTGACAACATTGAACGATTTTTGTGTGTGTGTGTAGAAGCTAATGCCGCTTTCATGGATTAACTAAGCTGTCAGTGACAATTTACAAGTTTAGTTACTTGTTATAAAACTAAGAATACTTTCATTCCTAGGTATTAGTTACCACAGACTGACTGACTGAAGGATGCAAAACATGAAATGTTTTTAAATTCTGTACTACATTTTGTGAAGTAAAATTTCAGCGCACATTTGACTTTATGAATGTTTTTAAAAAAAAATATCTATTGCATACACAAAAGTGAACGAATAGGCCTTAGTTTGAATGGTGGGAAGACAGAAGTAATGGTGGTATCAAAGAAAATAATTATTCCTAAATGGGTAATAAAAGTCAATGGTTTTATTTTGGGACAAGTACAGAAATTTAAGTATCTGGGCACACGGATAACATCAGATGGAAGATGCATTACTGAAATAAGAAATAGAATAGGACAGGCCATTTTATAAAGTGAAGAACGTCTTATGCAATATATCTTTGTCATTGAGGGTTAGAAAAAAATTCGTGCTTGCTACCAACATCCAGTTTTAACATATGGTTGTGAATCCTGGACAATCGGTAGGCAGGCCAAACAATTTCTAGAGGCCTCAGAGATGTGGTTTTACAGAACAATGCTTTAAATACCTTGGATAGCAAACAAAAACAAAAGCAACCAAGAGGTTTTGATAGAGGTGGGAGCCCGAAGATAACTACTCACAGACATCAGAAGTAGACAGTCATCATTTTTTGGCCTATTTTATAAGATGAGGGAAAATGTAACATGTGGTGACCAGTGGAAAGACATGTTGAAGGAGGGATAGAGGAAGACAACGAGAGAAGATTCTTGACAGTCTTGTTGCATGGCATGGAAATGTGTCAGCACACGAACTGATACATGCTGCAGGAGATCGCAGATTGTGGCAGGCATTATCGCCTATGCCAGTCGGCAAAGCACCTGATGAAGATGATTCACTATTCGTATATCGGCCGAATAGTTGGTCCAGCTATTCGTATTCTGCCGAATAGTGAAAATCACTATTCGGTACAGCCCTAGTTATAACAACTCCTAATTCATCATGAGACTTCTTAGTTGTCTCTTGTGCCATTCAGTGTTACTGTTTGCTTCTCTCCATGGACCCTGATAACACACATATGGAAGATTCATTTACTGAAACCAAGTTAGTTGTGGCTCTCTTACAGGAAATTGCAGAACCTATCTAACAAACTTTGGCTGTTTGGTTTTACTAGAGTTTTACGTTCGGTAGTTTGCCATTGCTTGCTGAAGGGTTGAGACTCTATACCAGTGTTGAAATCAACACAAATCGGTATGCTGCCAAATCACCTGTAGCTTGAATCGAACCGAATATTTCAGATTTACAAAACACATTTGCAATGTCCAAGCCACAGACAAAAACACTGAAATAATGTCTGACACATATTTATATTGTTTCAAATTGTATCCCTTTTTTCCACTTCTGCACACACTGTTTCTGAGTTTTTCTAAGAATATGTATGAATACTTTATTAATAACAATTGAAACGATGTTTCAGATGAAATTGAAAGACTGCAGGACCAAATGAGTCAAATGGATGAACACAGCAAATACCGCTTTGAGCTAGAAACATCTGCAGGATCTGACCATAAAGAGAACAGACATAGCATTGGCAGCAGCTCAAAACATGCTGACAGACCAACAGAGCCTGCACCTGAAATGTCCAACAAAACAGTAAAAGAAAATACATCACAACATACAGAAGAGAATTCTGTAACTGGAGACAGTTTTGCAGATATATTGAAAGAACTCACCCACCTGAGAGAGGAAGCTGCAAAGAAAGACAAAGAGACAGAAGAAATAAAACAGGTTAATGAAGAGTTAAAGAAACAAATAAAATGTCTGCAGAGTAAAGTAGATGATTTGGTCATGGAAGTTGATGTTAAAGAAAATGATAAATATAAATATACTGAAGAAATAAAAGCATTACAGGCAACCAGTGAACAGTTGAGGGGGGATGTAGATTCTGCAAAAGAAAGTAAAATGAGTACTGAAGAAAAATTGACTGTGTTGCATGAAGAGAATAATCAAATCAGGAGTGAGCTGGAGTCCCTAAAGAAAGTTAATGAAGAATTAGTTGAGAAAGTTCAGCTTCTTCAAAAGGAGCAGAAACAAATAAGTGGTGAAAAGCTTTTTGCTTGTTTGAGTGGTGACAGAATCAGCGCTTCTGAACTGAGTAAACACAGTGAGCAGGGAACATCTGCTTGTTCTGAAAAGGGTAATTCACAGATGTTGGATGAAAAGGGTAATTCACAGATGTTGGATGAAAAGACCATCGATCAAAGCAATGATGATGAAATTGTTTTCAATGTGAAGATGGACAACACTACATATGAGACCTTGAAAAATGAACATGACAAATTAAGACAAGAATATGATGATCTTCAGATAGCTCATGCTTCATTAAAAGAGAGGGTACAGAATTTAGATGATCAGCTCAGCAAGAAAGACACTGAAGAAAATAAAGACTCAGATGATAAAGAGATTAACATCACAGAAATGGTTCGACATATTGAGCAGAAAACACCATTACCTAAACACAGTTTGTCAGGAAAATGTCTTTTGAAGGACACAGACCACAGCAGTGTCCTTGAAGTCACGGGTAAAAAAGAGATTTCAGCACTGAAATTGAAAGCCGAAATTGACGAGGAAATCCTGAAAACACCATGTACACGATCATCACATAATAGTGGCACTGTCACTTTGGCAGTGAGGCTAAAAGATGCTGAACTAGCCAATGCAGCGCTTAGAAATAAATTGAAGAAGGAAGAGGAGGATTTCTTCAAACGAGAACAAGCTCTCATTCATGGTTACACTGCAGAAATAGAAAACTTGAAGTACGAGCTGGCCAAATTGAAGAGTAAAGTGGATGTTTCTGGTCGATTGTTGCCACAGCGAGGAAAGAGGAAGGCCACGGATTCCAGCATGACTTCGTCATTGTCTGACTCCATCAGTGAAACCAATCCTGCTGATTTAAATCTTATAAATGCAAAAGGAGATGACATCGTCAAGGAGAAACAGTCTGCTATTGTTTTGTCAAATGAACTACTGTCTGTTCAGGAACAGCTTCTTTCTCTTGCTGCAGAATACCGAAGACTTCAGGCAACAGAAAATAAAAATTCAACAAATTCATTTATCACAGATGTGGTTTTGGGTACTCCACGTGGTCGCCAATCTGCTCAGGGAATTTTCAGATTTGAAGAGAATGTTGCAGACAGTGTTCTCCAGTTTGAGTTAGATGAGTTCGCTGTCAGAATGGATGAAATGAGAATCAAGATTTCCCAGCAAGAAAAGGAAATTACGCTGTCCAAGGCGGCTTTGAAGAAAGTAAATGCCGAAAAATTAGAGATGGAAAGCAAATTTAAAGAAATGTTGCAGAACCAGGGTTCACAGCGGACTGATGAACTAATTAAATTAGAAGGAACGGTGGAGACTGAACTGAGTTCAAAGAAGATGATTGAAGAGAAGCTACAGGAAGCTGATGCTGCAAAGTCTCAATTGCAATCTGAGGTTGCAAACCAGAAGGTGATGATCACAGAGATGAAAGAAACATTAGAAACTGCAATTGTTGCAAAAAGTGAAGCCGAGCTTAAATTAATTGATTTAAGTAAAAAGCTGACAATGAGAAATGAAGAATTTGAGAAATCTGAGGTCAAACTGAAGAACTTACAAAAAATTATTGAGAATCTAAACAGGGAGCAAGATAATTTGATACAGACAATTAGAAGTCTAAAAGAGAATCAGTATATGCAGGATCACAATGTAGAAGAAGTTGATCAGGAATTGAAGGAAGCTCAGAACTTGGTTAAAAAGATGGCAAATGAACTTGAAGTGTTAAAAGAAGACCTGAAAACACAGGAAAAGCATCACGAAGAAGCTGAAGCTAAACTAGCAGAAGCACTCACAGAGAAAGCTTTGCTGGAAGAATCCTTGAAGAACAAATCTAAGGAACTAGATGATTGTAGAGAAAAACTGAGCTACCTTGAGCAGAAATATAACGATGTTCAAGAGACCTTGGCGACGACAGCATCCCTGAAAGATAATTGTGAAAGGAAGTTGAAATATGCAGATGAGAAATTGGCAGCATTAGAAGAACTGATGAACAAGCAGCAGGAGGAACACACTAGCAAAGTTAATGCACTGAAACAGCAGTTGTCTGGTGAGGGGGAGGCTAAGATGGAAGCTTTGACAAGACTTGAGAAACATGTAGACGAATTGAAGCTACAACTGAAAGTCAAAACTGCAGAGGTAAATATAACTTCTGTATTTTTCCCTCACATAATCACAGTGTTTAAAAATAATGATACATGCTTGTTTGTAATGAAAGATACAACATTTTACCATCATTATGAAATACAGCGACAAAATGTGTACTTTTAGTTGCACCAGGTTCCCTGACAGAGTATCTTTTTGTTTTACTTGGCTATTGCCACCAGTTCATGAGATGCATAGCTAATAGCACTGTTATCGCTGCATCCTGCACAGACATTTAGAAGAGCCACAAATGACTGCATTTACTAAAAATAGCAGGCAAAGGGGTTTTCTCTATGAAATGTGTTTTCTTCATAGAAATCATGACATCGTAATTATGTGATTTGTCATGGTGTTAACCTGTAACTGTGTCACTGAAAACATTTATTTTTAGACACACAGAGGTGTGACCCAGTTAATTCTCTGCTAGATCTGTTTACACTGATGACTCCCCACATTTTGAGTTCACACTTGATCCAACATACTCTAAGAATTTTTCTGTAAGTTCAATACTAAACTTTCTTGATTGTGGAATGATTGATTCATATCCTTATATCACGAAATAAAAATAACTTTGTTTATTTTTTAAGTAGCTGCATGTTTCTTGTAGTTGTTGATTTCCACCAGTTCCCATTGTTGGTTCAAGGGCTGCATTTTTTGAGACAAAAAATAATAGACCCACTGTCCCTCAAGAAAACTAATTAAGGGCCATGTAAAATAGGAAATATTGAGCGCCCATGGTGTAGTAGCTAGACTCGCCTGTGGATCTGAAGGTCGTGGGTTCGATTACAAATGGAGCCAGATTTTTCTTTTCAAAAATTAGGTTAGTTGCTAGGTTACCCAGCCTTAAATGGGTACCAAGTAAAGTCCTGGGAAGTAAAGGCAGCCAGTGGGATAATGACCATATCACCCTCTAAATGCTGATTGGTCTGTAAAATAAAGGTCTATCCCTATATGCCCAGTACACGTGAAAGCATCATAAAGGTTTGACTTTTTAAAACCAGATATATTTGGCCACAAATGCAGATATCACAGGCTCGCTGAATACCACAACGCATCATGCAAAACACCCTTCTAAGGGTGGAAGAAAAAACCTCATTCAGTGCGAATTACTCTTTGCATCGTGCGGTCACAGTTATTGTTATAACAGTCTTTGTGTTTCCAACTCGACAGTTTCTCTTTAACAAATTTCAGTTAGAGAAAATTGAATGTCAGCGACAAGAGGAAGGTGCAGAAGTTTCCCAGAAATTGCTGATGCTGGAGAGGGAGAAGAAGCTGGCAGAGAGGAGGGCAGCTGATGCTAAGGAAAGGGAGATGGAGTGGCAGCTGAAATACCAAGGAATGGATCAAATGAAACAGGTACATGTGTCTTCCTTGAAGCAGAATTGACAAACAAATATATCACCTTCACTGTATGTTGGAAATTCACTAACAGATACAGATTTATAAATATTTACCACTTGTATTAAAGATTGAAACTTATACACATAGCATGTAACCACCATCATTATGTAACATGTCCTTTGCATCATATTTTCCTATCACATTGCTAACATTAGACATTATCAAATGCTAACCTACGTAAAATTAATGCTTGTGAAATAAGGTGCCTGAGGAAAGCCACTAAATTAACTATCAGAGACAGAATGAGAAATGATGCTGTCAGACAAACTGTGGGAACAGCACCATGCGCCACTTCATTGAGCAACAGAAGATAAAATGGTTTGGTCATTCCATTAGAATGGAGCAAAACAGCTACCATAACAGGCGCTACACATGAAAATATCTATGTGAAAGCAAAAGGTCACAGTAGAGCAGATAGGTCGATATTAAAGACATTTGCACTCAATGACAATAGCCATGGCTCTTCATAAAGCAATGGATCACAAACTGTTCCTCCCTATGGAACTTGATAGCAGAAGTGGAAATTGATGATGAGGATGACGAATGAACAAACTTTATTTTCAAAGGGTCACAAATTGGGCACCCAGGCCCGTCTTACATTCAGCCTTTCCAGACACCCGTCTTTTATACTCCAGCTGTATTTTATCAATAAGCATGTTATATTCATATGATAATATGCATATTATAAATATCAAGAAAAGAAATCGCACACAGAAAAGCATGGGTGGTAAAATGCATGCACACACTAGCGCACACACACGTCCACCCACTCACTTAAACACGAATATTTACACACCCACATACCTTCACACACACACATAAACACACCCCCATTCGCCCACATACATACATACCCACACAAACACGCACATTCCACATACATACAGATACACACACAGACAGACATGCGTGTACAGACCCAAATACACACACACCCACAGAAATAAATGCAGACAAACAGACATACGTGCACAGACCCAAAACACACAGACACACACACAACCCGCAGACACACACACATACATGCACAAACAGGCATGCACACACACAATGACAACACAATAAGAATCTCAATCCCTTGCTGGTTGATCCACCTTGTGAAATTTCATCCTCAAGATGTTCTGTGTCTAACTTTGTGCATGTTGACCTCTGTTTATGCATGCAGTCATCTGGATAAAAGAGCATCTACTCTTCAAAGTGTTCTCTTCTCTAAGAAACCTAACAGCGGAGGGCTGAGCAATGTACACATACATGAAAAAAATCTGGCAAAATGGCCGGGGCCTTTCTTGACACAAACCACAACAGCAACAAGGGGCAGAGTGATTTCACTCTCTTCATTCACTGCCTGTAAATTCTGGTGGAAAATTCTGGTTGTTCATTCACTTCTGAATTTGGTCCAGAACTTGAAATTTATATGTACATCCAGTTTAACAAGTATGACTTTTTTTGAATACAGGCTGTTTGGTTTCCTTCCCTCTCATACAGGCACACTCTGAATTTGAAGGAAACACCTATAAATAATAGCCTTTTACGACATGCATGTTAAGGGGGCCGTGACTCTATTCTTTTTTCTCTCTCTTTACCAATCTGGGGCCCTGGAACCCACACAGGGAGTTAACTATTATAAAATAGCAAAATGGATTAGTAAAAAAGACACATTGTTCATTGATGCTAAACCTAGCTTGTATGACAATCGTAGAAAAACAGGGTCAGTAATAGGCCAGCAGAAATTGCAAAAAAAAGTTCTCAAAACACTAAAGTTGCAGAAACTAACTTATTTTTTTTAAGCAATGCGTTCTAAATACAACAAGCAACCAGAATGACAATTTGAAAATTAAAACAAAGAGTAGTTATAATATTAAAAGAAAACCAAGTCTACATATAAGGTGAACTTGTACTGTACTTCAAGAGTGCTGAATGACGGACAGAAACACACAAACACACCCCTTCTGAAAATTATTTTACAAAGTGGACCCTGTAAAATAAATGGACAACTTGATAAAACATAAGCCACAGTGCAGGTTCTGAAATCTTCTAAAAGCCAGTCATATTGTTTCACATCATTCTTCTTGTATTTTTGTTGTGAAAGAGAAAACTATTTCTTTGCCAGACCTAATTTGAATTAACTTCTACAAATAATTTATCTTGTAGCAGTGTTTCACAGTTAGTCAATACTTGCAAGGCCTCTTATTTTTGTATGTCTACACTGGACTTTTTAACAACCTTTTTTTCCCTTTACTTTGTTAAACATTACAATAAATGCAATCTATAGTATAGTCTTTAAGTTAGAATACAATGTGATCTATATGTTCTGGATGAGCTGTAAGAAAGGTTGTAAATTTTAGTGACATCAGGAACTGTGCATAGAGATCTGTCTTAGAATCTGGGTGTCTAAGTCTTAATTTTTGTAGTGACTCACATAAGAAGTCTCTTCCTTCTGGTATCACTTTCCAACTCTTCCTCTCTCTCTCTCATTTTAGCTGGAACAACAGTTACACCAACAATTGAAGTCTGCCGCTGAATGCTTAAGAAAACTGTCAGTGAAGACAAGTCAGCTCAGCAGTGACCTGGCTATCAAGGAGCAAGAGTTGGAACAGTTGAGGGAGGAACTTGCCAGAATGGAATCACATGTAGGGGCGTTTTTTTCTTGGTTGTAAAATATTTCTTTACTTCAGTTAGAGAGTATAGGATTCAGGTCACCTTGTACTAGGCCATCCTATCCTTTTGCTGTTGCCAGCAGCTTCCTGTTCTCACTGTGTTATTCATCCCTGTCTAATTATTTTCAAAATAAGATGTGCACAGTGACAGATAAATAAATGTGTCTTTGTTTGTCAGAATGATTGTTTCAGCAATGAATTCTTACAGTAATGCAGTTGACTGTTTAATGTAATCTAGGCTCAGTCATGGAATCATTTCAATTAAAAATTGTTTGCAAGCATCCAAGATGCAGATTTATAAAAGAAGGATAACATTAGGGACACAGTGGATAGAAGATGTTTTGAAAGAAGCTCACAGAGAGAACTGTTTGCCCATTTTGAATGAGACTGGCATATTCTTTTGGAAAATCGTGAGACAGAGAAGCTCGGAGCACATTTTTATGACAGTAAGAGAGGCAATGACAGGTAGACGGAGACTAGAAGATATTATGTTGATCATAATGGCATGGAGAAAAAACACGCACACTTTTGTCAGAAATTATAAGCTGTACAGGAGAATGGAGGAGCGGCTGGCCAAACAGTTAGAATGCTGGGCTCTCAAGCGGGAGGCCAGGTTCAAATCCCGGTAAGGCTGGGGATTTTTTTCTGTCTGGAGCAAAATAAAATCCTCGCCTGCATAGTCGTGGCGACAGCACTAGCCATGCGGCTGTAAATTCTCAGGCTCAAAGACCCCTGCCTACATCGCAGAGTAGAATAATAAAGACAGTTATTAGCACAGGAACTGAAGGCTATGGATAGACATGACTACAGCCACGCACAGGTGACTAGAAAAGGCGACATAATCTCAGTTAGTGTGTGCTGTTCTGAATCTTGAGCTGGGTACAACCTAATAGTCTTTCCTATTTGGTGGTCCAGGGGTCCACACAAACAATTTAAGGGGCCCTTGATATTACACACTCACCCCCCCCCCCCCCCCCCCCTATAAATGATGAATTTTTCAGTATTACTATTAAAATGTTTATGTTTGAAAATACGAGTGGCTGTGCAGGTCTTTGCCAGTTGGGAACTGCTGTCTAATACGTTTCTTTGTACATAGAACTGATATACAGCATTCAGGACATTCCCACATGTGCTTCATCCTCATCTTCAGCAGCCAGCAGAGTTCCAATTCTGATCATACCAGTAGCAGTTTGTGTATATCTAGTTCACCCCGACAGATGCAGCCTGTTTTCATTTATCTTCTTCACTTCCTGTTTTATCGCTTTGAGTGTCGAGAGTGATATATATATGTGTGTGTGTCTATATATATATATACACACACACATATATATATATGTGTGTGTGTGTGTATATATACACACACACACACATATATATATATATACACACACACACACATATATTCTTGGTTTTTTTCTGGCCACTTCTACTATAGACACATTGTGCTGTTGTAGAGTTTCTCCGATGCTATTTTTTCATCTCGTTCTTGGTCTAAATCGTGATCTACCAATTTCTTCCTTTTCATAAATGCATTTTATGGTAAGGCATCACACTGGTCATGAGTTAAAACTCACTTTGCCTAGAAGATTCACAAGCAACCAATTATCCTACTCTTAAAAACTTTGTGGCTAGAGATATAGTATACATATTGTTGAATATTAATTAATAAATGTTTATAATCAGAGAAATATATCACCTTTGTCGTTCCAGAGTAAGAAGACTGAAGAGTTGGAGACTAAAGTTGAGCATCTGGAAAAGTCTTTGGCTTCAGAGAAAGAACAGCGTTGTCAAGTTCAGAAAAGTCAGTTTGTTAGACACTTGTTAAGCCATTGCTGCAATCTTTCTGTCTGTCATGTCTTTGTTTTGTTTATTTCTTCTGTTTGTTGTGGCTTCAGAGGTCCCAGATAGTTAGCGTCCTTTGGATATTCAGATAGTTAGCGTCCTTTGGATATTTTCTTTAGGTAATGCTGGTGTATTAGGAAATGTACAAGTAAATAGATATGGCTGGTTTTGCACCAGTTGGTGGTGAATTGGTGAATGACAAGCTTGATGCTGTAAAGGTCCTTCGGAATGAGTGAACACTGCTGCGTCACTGGACATGTTATAAGAAGGAATCAATTCAAAAACTTGGCAATGACCAGCAACATAAATAGAAAGAAAGCAAGGAAAAGGCAGAGAGATAATAATTGGATGACTTGGCCACATGGACAAGGTGAGACAAGAATGCTGATCCATACTTGTGGTGATTGTGTGGGATGGCACGCCATATTGATTGGCACCTTTTCATCTCACTAGATGATAGTGTTATACTGTGCTATGAGAGGTTTGGGACTCAGCCCATGTTGATGGTGAGTGTGACTAGCAAGACCCCCTCACATTAAACAAAAATGTCTTCCACAATTATAGCATGGGATTTCAGAACCGCTGTTGTCAACATTTGTATTTAGTCTCTTTCTTCTCAGACGCTCCGCTCTCATCTTTTATGCAGTCATTTCTTCCTTCATTCTCATTCCCTTCCTTATGTGCCCTCTTCACACCACATGGTCTATGGCATTTTGTTCCGAATCCACCTCAGTATCTGTATCATTCATATCCCGCCTGCACACATATTTATGTCTTAATAAAGGTTGGCCATCACATCTTCTGCCCATCTTAAATTCACCATAGAGGATGTCCTTAGGGACTATGCCATCCTCCATTCTCCAAATGTGACCGAGCCACCTGGGCCTTTGTAGCATAACAGCCTACGTTTATTGGCACAGAATATATTCGTGATCATGATAAAGTAAACACTTGATACATTTTCTCTTAATAAAACTACGCATGGTTTTGTTTTTTGATCAAATTATTTTCATCTGTATTTGTTAGGCCTGCAAGAGTCTCAGGAACATTTTGCTATCCTCAAGTCAACGTTTGCAGATTGTGAAGAGACAATGGATCGCCAAGAAACGATCATAGACAAGCAAGATGTCGACTTAAGCAGTTTTAAAACAAGTAGGTGTGCTGCACTTTCACAATTAAAGCATTGGGCTGTATGCTGGAAACCCAGATTTAATCTTAGGTGAGGGATGGTGATTTTGTTTTGTTTTTGGGACTGGAAATGTTTTCAAAACATCTTTTGCACAGTTTGTGACAACTGCTGTAGCAATGTAGCGCTAAATCCGGAGGGTCATAACCTCCTGTCCTACACTGCTTACATAGATTATTGAGCAGTAAGGATCGTTTTATATGAAGGATGGACAGGCTGCTACTTAGCTAATTTCCAAAAAATATCCGGTTAAAAAAAACATTGTTAACTGCCAGCAAATTTGTTATTAGTTGCCAGGAAAGCCTGTACACTAAAAACAGTGTTGTGTACCAGAAGCCAAAGAAATGCAAATTCTTTATCTTCGCGTTCACCAGCTTTAAACTCTGGCGGAAAGTTCTGGTTGTTCGTCCACTTCTGGACTGCAGTCCCGTTCCAGAACCTAAGTGTTGCGTGTGCATCCATTTTACAGATCTGACTCATTTGTATGCAGACTGCTGGTTCCTTGCCTCTCAGGCAAATGCACTCTGACTTCGAAGGAAGCTCCCAATTAGTCGACTCTTACGACATGCTTTTGGGTAGGCAGTGGGTCTATTCTTGTTTTTTCCTATAATAGTTCCCCGGAACCCACACGGGGATTCTAAATGCAAATTAAGTGGTTGAACCCTAAGATATTCTTGTTGGCAGTTGGCAGTTTCACTTATCAAATTAGGAAGATTTTGAATGATCAGAATTATATAACTATACCTAGTTGTTGTTTTTGTTGTTGATGATGAACAGTAATAGAAAAATGTCTTTTAAAATGGAACCCTCATTCCATGATGGTTATTGCTTGTTAAGACAGTGGTTTGAGATCAAACTGGAGATAAGACATGTCTGTACGGATGTGTACAGAATGCAAATATGATCTTCGGAGAACTAACGTAAGTCTCATTGCACTGGGTTTCTCAATTTGTGTTTCTTATGCTGTAATATGAAAGAGAACTTCTGTGATATGTGGATCTTACCATTGAAATATTTCCTTTTGGAAAGTGTGTTGATTAAATTCTTTGACAATTATACTTGTGCTAAAAAGAAACAAATAAATTTGTTGTTGCTTCTGTGTCTGCAGAGATTGAAACCCTAACAGCTGAAACTGAGAGACTGGGCCAGCTGCTTATTTCAAAGGAACTTGAAGTTGCCAGTTTGAACAAAAAAGTGAGTTAAGACTTATAATATGTTCCTACACATACTGTTTGTCTTGCTGGCAGCATCCTATGGCTTGCGTCTGGTCTTTGGCTTCTTAGTTGCTGTCTTGATGACTGTTGACCATCCAAGCCACGATCCTCAACTTTTTACATGTAAATGTCATTCTTATGGTGTTATCAGAACAGATAGAGCACTGCTCTTCTGATCCAGCAGCTTCTGTAGTCTTTGTTCCAAATGCACAGGTGTTTACCTTTCCTTTGATGTAAATAAGGCAGGGCGAGACAGCAATAGATCATGATGCATGGGCAACATATGGTCTCTAATACTGCCTAGACGTTGTGCTATAGAGAGGAGGAACTTAATCCCCGGCCTTAATTGGTCTTGACGGGGAACAAAATAAGTGTCTGAGAAAAATGCAAATGTTGACAACAATGGTCCTGACATTCTGTGCTATAATTGTAGAAGATTTTTCTTAATGCAGGCGGGTCTTGCTGGTCATACTTGCCATCGCTATGGGCTGTGAGTCCCATGCCTCCTCATAGCGAAATATATCACTATTGTCTCAAAAGAAGGAAAGGTGCTAATCAATCATTCACGGTGTCGCAGTCTCTCTCTCTCTCTCTCTCTCTCTCTCTCTCTCTCTCTCTCTCTCTCTCTCTCTCTCTCTCTCTCTCTCTCTCTCTCTCTCTCTCTCTCTCTCTCTCTCTCTCACTCACTCACTCACTCACGCACGCACACACACACCCCATTAAATGACTTAAACCATTAAAAAAATAATAATAATAAATGTGCTCCGTCTTTGGACTGACCAATGACTATTGTGAGTTGCAGGACACAGAAAGAGTTAGAATAACACATAGCATAATACAAGCTAACAAATTTTATAATAATAATTTTAAAAAATCTGATTTGGATTTTCCATTCTTACCTTCCTTTTTAATGTATTTTTCCTTACAGATGACGAAACTAGAAGCAGAGGTCACAGTTCTGCACCAGTCCGAACAGAAAGCATCAGATGTGGAAAATATTTGTCATGATAAGCTGCAGAAATATCAGTCGGAGAGGAGAGAGTTAGAAGACAGGTTACAAAATATAGAAGAGGAGAACAGAAGTTTAGAGAAAAAACTGAATATCTCAGAAAAACATTTGAATCAAGAAAAGGAAAATGTAGAGGATTTGGAAGAAAGGTTGTCTAAGAGTGAAAAACAGAAAAAAGACCTTGAGAGAGAGATACAATCGTTAACAGACAAGCAGAAGATAGTAGAGGAACAGATGGAACAAGTTAATCGCCAACGTGCAGAAGAGTTGGAACAGTCATGTACTTTGAAGGCAGAACTGAAACTGCTCAGGAAAGAGGTCAGTTTTCCTCCCACTTTTTCTGCATGTAGGTTCTGATGCCCCTTTAATTTTGGGAAAAACAAGAATAGACCCAATGCCCCTATAAAAGTTTGTCGTAACAGGCGATTAATTAGGAGTGTATTCTTCAAATTCAGAGTGCATCTGCCTGAGAGGTGAGGAACCAACAGTCTGCATACAACCAGGCCATATTTGTAAAATGGAAATGCGTGCAAAACTCAGAACATAGAGCAAGACTAAAGTGTGCAAAACTAAAGACATGGAGCAAGACTAAAGTCCAGAAGTGGATGAACAACCAGAATTTCCGCGAGAGTTCACAGCCTGAGAATGCAAAGAAGAAGATTATTTTACTTCTTATAATTTGTGTTTGTGATTTTTTTCATAGTGTTTCTCCACAGCCTTCTGTCTTGTTTGCTGTATGTCATTTCTGAGACATATGTTCTTCAATGTCATGGTGATAAACTATATGGCTGTATTCTGTTAGACATTGCTCTTTGTTCTTCCCTGCCTCTGTTCCAAAACTCCAAGGATCTCTGTACCCAGCATATGCTCTCTCTTTCTCTCTCTCTCTCCCTCTCCCTCCCTCCCTCTCTCTCTCTCTCTCTCTCTCTCTCTCTCTCTCTCTCTTTCTCTCTCGTTCACTTATCCATTTTTTTAGTTTGCCTTTATTTCTGTGCCCCTGTGGGTTCTAGTGCAAAGACATTCTTGTTACATTTTTCTCAGGTTTTTTTCCAGCAAGGTGTCCTTCCTATCCAGCGCCAGTCTTTTCTTCACCTCTTGGTCCACTGGAACTTGTTTAGTTCTCTCCCAAAGCTCAACATTAGTGATTCTATCATACTGGTCAGCTCTTTCAAATACCATTTACTCCTACATGCCCAGAGGTGTAGATGCAGATGATGGAGGTTAACTGCAACTTACGAATGCTTTCTACCCATTCAGAGTGTAGACTACAGGTGAAGCATATTCATTGAAATAATTACTGCACATGAGGCTGCTTGTTCTGCTATCCATGCTCATTTTCTGGACTCAGCTGTTATCTCTATGGTCATGCTTGACGTAGTCATTGTGTCCCATCTACCACATTTTCCTCTTCTGCATTTCTGTATTATATTTTGTTAATTAATTATATTATGCCATCCAATGGCTTATTCATAGCAAGCTTTTCTAAATGCAAGCCAATTTGTTATATTGTGTTTAGATGGAAGAAGGTAGCAGTGATAAAGAGAAGCATAGTGATGATCTGAGGAGAGACAATGCAAGTTTGAAGGAAGAGATAACTAAGCTGTCACAAAACATTACATGTATGTATCATTTTAGTGCTTACATCTGCTGTTGTTGGCGATGTTAAATACCTAAATACATGAAGTTAGACAATAAATCCTTAGCATGAATTTATTTAACAAAACAGTAACTATTTTCTGGGTGCTGTTTTTGGCAGAAGAAGACAGGTGCCAGTTTCTTAACTGGAATCTCAGTAGATGTTGCCAGTTTGCTGAACTGGAATCTCAATAGACGTAGACAGTTGCCAGTTTGCTGAACTGGAATCTCAATAGACGTAGACAGTTGTCTATTTGTTGAACTGGAATCTCAACAACAACAAAACTTAGACAGTTAATAGTTTCTTGAACTGAAATTGCAACAGACGTAGACAGTTGCTAGTGTGTTGAACTGGAATCTCATTAAACATTACACGTACATGTGTTATAAGAACCAGTTTAACAATTTTCTAACATCTTTTAGTCTGCCTTATCAACACAAGACTTCAGATTACACCCGGCTGGTGTAGCTGTTACAGGCGCCCTATTAAAACTTCTTTGAAGGTTGAATGGTTGGTCTGGGATCTGCCCTGTTGGTCGGCCACCTAGACTGAGATTTTTTTGATTCCAGGGTGGTAAATCTTTGGGCAGCAACCAGGAGGGGACAAACCAGTACATCTCTCGAGTAGCATGTTTCTAAATCTCATGTAAATTATACCTCTTAAACTAAACTAGTATATTATTTATTCAGAAGTTGCTTTCCGTTTCCTTAGATTAGTTATCCAAAATTGTTATCCCTTTCCTTGAATTAGAAGCATGTACCTCTCTCCCTCGATCCCAGCTGCGGATGATTTGTTTTGTGTTGGTTTCAAGAGTGGTACCGAGAGCTGACCACTCAGTAAGCAATGGCAAACTACCGAACGTAAAAATGTGCCTAGTAAAACCACAACAATACAACGTCCTGTAAAGGATACGCTACCCCTATCCTTTACTTACTTAATGCAAATGCGGATTGTAAGATGTAAGCCTCTTTTAGCTTAGTACTCTGAAAATCTGCATCCTTTTAAAAGCAGTAATGTGCTACAGGGTCAACTTCCAATATTGTCTGTTATTTATTTTATATTATATATTTTTGCCACACATAAATCCATAAAAATGTCAACAGACAATGTTTCTGAGCAAGTGAATGGATTAATGGGATTTGCATTCATTTCATTGGGATTTTTTTTGTTTGTTTTTTGTTTTTGTTTTTTTGCAGTTCACAAAGTCAAAGATCAAATTAAGTTGATGACCATAGGTAGCACTGTATTTAATTATGCTTTGGGAACATATAACAGTGTTTTAGAAATCCATTTAATGTAAAATATTTACTGCAGGTCAACAGAAGGAGCTGGATAAACTTAATGATACTCTGAAGGAGACCGCTGAAAAACTTAAGGTAAGTAATATCTATTTACAGAATTTCTTAGCAGTTATAGTTTATTAATTTGTTGCAAGATATTTTCCCATCTCTAACACTATCCATTGACTGTTCTGTCAGTTAAAAAAATCTATGAAGTGCAACACATTATATGAATTTTAGATTTCTTCTTTTGCCCATTGGAGCGTAGGCCCTCAACCAACTCACAGCAAATACTATCCTGTGCTATCTCATACAGCTCACTCAATATCTATACATCATTTAAACACCACTCTCTGTCTTCCTTCTCCATGCGTTTTGTGGTCTGCCTTCATTTGTGTGCCCCTGTGGGTTTCAGTTTAAAAACGTTATTTATATCCCCAGTTTTTTTATAACTTGTCTTAACTACTTAATGCAGCTTGCAGTTTATGCTGTAGTTGCATTGCAATTAGTGCTTTCCTTACCAACATAGATAGTAGTGGTCAGGGTTTAGTTGTTAATAGTGACAGATTTCTGTTTGCAAGCTTGGCCCTGTAACCAGCCTGGTATCATAAAATTGTCATGGTTCAGAAATATCTAGAAAAGTAGCTAGTCAGTACGTATGATTATGCTGTAACTTAGTATGTGTGAATACTTAACCATTCACACCCACACATTGCCTTTATGTTTTTATACAAATAATGATTAAGTACTGTGCACAAAGATTTAGTTTATTGTGATGCATATTAGGTTACAAGTAATAGCTAATTAACCCTTTGGGGAAGGCTTGGTCGATTTATCGGCCCAACAGTAACATGGCCAAAAAAAAAGGCTAGCCTGATCTGTGGGTCCGGTAATTTAAGCCTTGAGATTGGCTGGCTGGTCTTCATACCAGCTAATAACAGTGCTTCTCCCATTCTTTACACATGTGGGCTGTTCAATGGCAGCTCTCTTCATTTTTTTTTTGGCGTTGTCCTGTAATTTTACATCGGGGGGGGGGGGGGGGGGGGGGGGGGGGGGGGGGGGGGGTACCTATGCCCAACAATGGTGAAAGGACTGTTGCATCATATCAACCAAAATATAGTAGGAGGCAGGAAAAGGAATAGATTATTGTGCCAGAGGTATCTGGTGAGCCTTGCTTCCCAAAATGCAATTGTTAGGACTTATTCAGGCTTTATTTATCAGAAAAGTTAGCCAGATTGGTCTATTTAGTCATGTTTGTCCCAAGTAATAATAATAATAATAAAAAAAATAACTATGCATGCATAAATATGCAAATTCGATAGCTAATTTGAATGTGTTGAAATGTCAGTGGGATTTTTAAAAATTGTGTTAGTTTATTCAATATTACAAATTTAGAAAGTGTTTTTGTTGTTGTTGCTAAAAGTATGTTAATTAAACATGTCATTTTAAAAGAAATGTGTGTGTGTGGAAACCTCCAAAGGCTCCGTCTCCAAAGAGTTTAAGGCTCGCTGAATTGGGATATGATGGGCAAAAGGCTGCAGATATAGCAGCCTAGCTGTAAACCACAACATGACGAGACCCTTTTGATGGTTTCAGCAAAAGAAGATAACAAGTCACTGTTTTACTTTACAGGCTGAGGAGAAAGAACTCAAGAAACAAGAAAGAATTAATAAGAGGAACAGAGAAGAAATGGAGGTAGGTAACACACATCTATTCCTTAAGTGACATGTCTCAGCAACAGATGTTTAGTCGTCCATTTTGAATATTTGCTGTTTCACCCTATAAACCAAAACTGCTGCTTTAGGATATGCCACAATAACAGAGAAGCCAGAGGTGTGGGCTGTAGAACAGTTTTTGATTAATCATACTCTGATTAAAAAAATGATACATTTTTAACATTCTGTTTCCTCAGTAAACTTAGTAGAATAGCCTTGCATGTCACTGTGTATGACATTTGTCATATACTATCAAACTTTAAGAATAGTTATATTTATTTAGACAGTTACATTTAACCCTTTCGCTGCTATGGGCGAGATAACTCGTCTGCCCGGCAGACTGCTAAAGACGAGATAACTCGCCTGCAATTTTTTGTGCCCTCACTGCTAAGGACGAGATATCTCGTCCTCGACATTTTTGTACAGATTGCTAAGGACAGTAAATCTTAGGGGTGAAAAAGCAATACACATTACCTTAATCTGACCAAACTGACCCATTTACATACAATTAAAACCCTTATCAAGTGAGTTTAGGCGTATTTAGATGTATTTCACGTTATCCTGTTGCTTTGTTACCATAGAAGCATTGTCGGTGAACGGTAATTTTTTTGCCCTGAAATATATTTCTGGTTTTGCGTTAGTCTAAATTTTTTTTTTTAAATGCATAATAATAAGAACATTTGTTTAAATAAAGAAGAATTATTGGAGTTTCTTTCAAGAAGTAGTAGTAAGGATCACTTTGAAGCGTGTGAGTTATATGAGCTGGGTTATCTTCGCGGCACGCCGGCGGACACGTGTACTTCTGGCTGTGAACAAGACTGACCAGTGACCATATGACCTAGCTATCTACATCGGCTGGATTTGAAACGGATCCAAAATAATCAAAATAAAGATATGGTCACGTACTGACGTGATGATTAATGTTAATTATATACTATACCACTGACATAAATGTGTTTTTCTATTAAAGTCTACAATACTGGTCTTTTTTTTAAGTTAATAGTTTCATGTGAATTTCTAGTGTAGTTGGTATCACGTCTGCCTTACAGTCGAAAGGTCCAGCGTTCAACCCCTACGCGCCGTTTTTTTTAAAATTAATTATAATTATTTTAAATGCAAATTTTAAATTTAAGCTTTTAGCATTTTCGGCAACAGATAACCGAAGTAATAATTAATTAAACATCCAGTCACGTGCGTTCAGGCGGATTTAGATGCTTTACACGTTATCCTGTTCCTTTGTGAAGCGTGGTTGGTGTACTGTGCACATTCATTATATAAAGTTGTTTTGGGGAAAAACACACCTGTTGCCGAATTTCACTTAATGTTAGTAAGAGAAATTCTACATAAATATTGCAAGGAAAAGAAAAAAAGTGAAGATCTGCCACTTCGTTTAGTACAAAGGCAATTCCCTTCAATAATAGAGTCCGTAACATCGCAGAAACAATTCCCAACAAGAAAGTGTGTGGCATGCGCAAAAAGCAAAAAACGACGGGAAACCAGATACATGTGCAAGGAATGTGATTTGGCATTGTGTGTCGCACCTTGTTTTGAAATATTTCACACACAAAGTATAATTAATAATAATAAAAACCATGTATTTGCTTACTAAAGTGTTTTGTGTTTGCTTTGTAAGTTTGTAGTGTTTTCGTTTTGTTAATGAGTTTTCATGGCGTAGTAATAGCGCGTCTGACTTGTCAGCGCAAAGTTCAACCACACGCCTTCAACGATTTTTTATTTTAAGTGTACAATTTTTACCCCGTGCCGATAGCGGGTCTTCTGCTTTTGAAGGAAAATGCGGTATTCAGCACAGGGGGAAAGATTAGCTCTCGCCTGGCTTAGCACAGTGGTTACGTTGGCTGGCGGAGGGCGCAGCAGCGAAAGGGTTAACATGTATGCCCTTGCAGGTCACTTTGCATATGTAATGACATTTCTCATATGCTTTTTAATTTGTATGACTACATTTAAAAAAAAAATTAAACTAGACAACAGTGTTATACGGAGGGGAAAATTGCAGCTTTTGGCAATGCAGATGTGACTAGCATGGTCTGCTCGCAATGAAAAAAAAAGTTCTGCAACTAAAGCATGGGAGTTCAGGACCATTATCTTTTCCATTGCATATATATGATGTGCTTCTTGGACATTTAGCACTCAGCCTGTCTACAATAACTTTTCCCTTTACCATTTTCCGATCCTGATTTTTCTCCTCCATTTAGCACATCACATCCAACAGGGGAAGATGCCTGTGGGGATATGGAGCCAGTGTTTTATTAGTCATGTTTTTAAATAGAGCTGGCATGGGCAGTTTAAATGCAGCCACTGATATAGTCATGAATCGTGCTCAGATTAAAATTGGAGTGCTGCAAGATTTAAGATGGTTACAAATATTTAAAAAAAAAAGCATGATATAATACATTAAACTGGGTGAAAGAAAAGGTTTTTTTAAACAGACAAGCCAGCTATTGACACACTTTTATTAAGCAAATTTATTCAGACAGTTGTAAAAATGTTTTCATAATGTAACTACATTTATTTACCTCAGCAAACTTTTTTTTTTAATCGTTCACAGAACTGGAAACAGGAGAGGGATGCATGTGTAAGCAGAATTGAGCAGCATTTAAACATGAGACAGCAAGAATGTCAAGATTTAGTTAAGGAGGTGAGATAGGGTATTGTCAGAAGTCATAATTTATTGCTTCTCTACATGCATTTTCTAGTCTCAGCAGAATGTATCAGTTCTTTTTCTCTCTCTATTTTTGATGTCTTGGATAAGATTTTCAACCCTTTTGCCACATGAAGCTGCAAATGCAGCACTGCCGATAGGTTCCAATTTGAGAGTGCTGCTTACCTTGTATTTCTAAAGTGATATGTTTACAAGACACCTAGTTAATGCTTTTGGCTGTGTTTTGCACCTGGACAAATATATAGGAGATCAGGAAATAAATATATTAGCTAAATAGCCTTTAGGGATATTTTCTCATGTACCAAATAGCTTTTTTACAGCCAAGTTGCAAAATTTTCCAACGAGCCTTAAGGATTAAGGTCACCTTTTTCAAAGGTCCCAGGAAATGTATTCCATTTTATGCTTTACACTGTTTGCATTTGCTTACTCATTGTTTATATATCTTCACATATTTTGAGAAAACAAAATTTAGATAAGTGAAATGGTTTAGTGTACGCGAGGTAGTATGAGTTGACACCCTACGGTAACATCTTTTGCTGTAGAATTACATTGGACCAAATGTGGATATACAGGAGGCTAGGTAATATTTCACAGAAACAAAAACAATCAAATACAGGGATTCTGAAAAGACTAGGAGTGAAAAGAGATTAAAAAGGAGAAACGTTAATTTTTTTGGGCCATAACACTTTTATAAATACCATACTGGAGGGAAAATTTGAAGGCAAGAGACAGACATCAATGTATGTAGGACCATAACATGAAGTGATAAACAACCGTCTGAGAGAGACAATTATGACTAAGATGAAAGAGAGGGATGGAGATCTATTGCAGACAACCTTCGTTGTGGAGATGGTACCTGATTGATTGAGATCAAATGATTGTATTTACTAGTTAACATGCTGGCTATTCACCATCATCATCATCATGTTTCCATTTCTGCCTTTAAGCGTTGTGGGAACAGTTTGCGATCCATTGTCTGATGGGCAGCCATGGCTATTGTCATTCCATGTCAGTGTAGAAGCTCTTTAATGTCATCAACCCACATTCTCCTAAGGCGGCCTCTTGCTCTCACTTCAGATGTCTTCATGTGTAGCGCCTGTGTTGGTAGTTGTTCTGGCTGCATTCTTACTAGATGACCCAAGCATTTGATCTTCTGTTTCTCCACACACACACACACACACACTAGAAAAAATGCTGGATGATGTAGTTCTACAATCTGTCTGATAATATCATTTCTAACTTTGTCTCGGATGGTTAAGTTTGTGGCTTTTCTCAGGTATATCATTTCACAGGTGGTAGCACAGTGTTGGTATGAATATGCTGTTTATAATCTGTTTGGATGTCTTAATAACGGTGTTATTATGTTAGCTTGCTGGCTATTACAGGGGGGGGGGGGGGGGGGACAAGATATATTCAAGCTGTATTTGTTTATATTCAGGTAGAGCAGCTAAAAAAAGACAATGCTGACCTGGTGAAAACTGTTGCCAACATTACAAGTATGAAGGATTCTGTGATCGCTGATTTGAGAAAACAAAATAACATACTGTCTACACAAATGGCACATGCGCAGGTAAGACAGCACATAGTGTGATATAAAATGTCTTCAATGAGCGCACTGCAACCACACAATTATGTTATGCCTGTTTTTGCATTCTGTCTGTGTCTTGCATCTGTGAAATTTGTACTCAGACTCGCCCATACTTTGTCATATATCTTTTATGTTGGTTGCAATGTTATGAGTTTAACCCTTTCAGTAACATATGGCTTTTACATTAGATACCCTAGGACAGTGGTTCTCAACCTTCCAAATGCTGCAACCCTTTAACACAGTTCCTCATGTTGTGGTGACCCCCCTCCCCTCCCCATCATAAAATTATTTTCGTTGTTACCTTAAAATTTCATCAAATATGTGTTTTATGATGGTCTTAAGTGAAGAGATTTGATGCTCCCTAACAAGCAAGTTGTAAAAGGCGACTAATTACAAAATTGAATGTCTCTGCCAAAAGGTGCAGATATCACAGCCTAGCTATAAACCACAACACAACATGTCAGCCTCCCTGATAAGGGGAACTAGAAGAAGTATGTGTTGTGAAATGGTTGCATCACATTTAGGGAATGACACTGTGTACTGTCAAACTCTTCATGCCACATGTAGAGAATGGTGTTTGTCTTGTACTGTTTGCTTTGCATGTCACATGTAGAGTATGCTGTTTAGAGAATGGCTATTATCATGTACACACTTGCATGTCACTTTGCATAGTTTGGGCTGTTCAGCTGGTGGGGGCATTGGGCCATATCTGGACTCAGAGGCCTAGCAAATAGCCCACAGACCATTGCCAAAACAGTGGTCTTTCTACGCTGGGGATGTGGCCTGTGATGACTCCTATTTCCAGCATTGTGGCCTCTGAAAAAACTTAGTTAAACAAATAGCCATGGCAAAGGTCATGTTTCTGAAATACTGTTAAACTTGGATGGTCTTATTTAGATAATGACATCAATCATATATGCCAGGGCTATTCAGCTGGCGGCCCACAGGCCAAATCTGGTCCGCAGAGGCCTGGCAAGTGGCCCGCGGATCATTGCCAGTTGTACCGTATTAATGATTTCTATCACTGCTGGAGCTTGAGTCTCAGCAAGGATCCACATTTTGGAAATTTTGGCCGCTTAGTAAACTTAGTTGAATAGCCTTGATATGTCACTGTGTATTGGTAATGACATTTGTTATATCCTATAAAACTTTAAGAATAGATATATTTAGACAGTGACAATTAACATGTATGCCCTTGCATGTCACTTTGCATATGTAATTTCTTAAATGCTTTTAAACTTGTATGGCTACATTTAGAAAATGACATTTCACATGTAATGTATGCCCTTGCCTGTCACTTTGCATATGTAATGACATTTCTCATATACTCTCAGACTGGTATATTCACATTTAGAGAGAATAGCATTTATCTTTTACACCCTTGCATGTCACTTGGTATAGGGAATGTCTTCCCCGCCCAAGATTGCCACACCAGACAACAGTGTTTTCAGTCGTAACGAGTTTGTTGAAGATCTGGACACAACGGGACATCTGGAGATTGATGCTACACCACCAATCGCAGCCAAGAAATGTAGAAAACGCCAGTCTCGACAGACGCAGTTGTCTTGCTCAGGTTCATCTGTTGATTCTGAGGTTTGCCAGTTTCCTTGTTTCATGTCCTGTTGGTGTTGTGTCCAATTCAGTCTAAATGCAATAGTTTGTTCTGCTGCTTTTATTTAAGGAAAATAGCCATATGTACAAACAGTTCTAGATTGGGGACTCAGAACTTTGCCCATGTGGCCAGGCACCACAGAATACAAACATGCTCACTACATGAACTGGGGAGATCTAAGATTTTGCCAGTTAGCAAACTATGAATCAGTGGGGACATCACAGCTTTCATAGAAGCCTGTGGCCTTCTCATCTGAAAACTAGTGGCAGGGAGAAACAATGTCCTGTTGTGATTCTCAGTCTTACAAAGTTAACAGTTTGTCTCCTCCCTGTATAATCAGTTGCCATCCACTAAAAATTGTCAATTATTTCTTAGGAGCTTGTCCTGCAACCTGTATTTGGGAGCAAATGTCTTTGCCTTATTTGTGCTTCTTGTCTTGTCTCTGTCTGTCTCTTTATCTCATATTCTGATGAAATTAATGTCACTTACATTGTGTGTTGCCCAGCAGTTTATCAAGCTTTCTGCATTTATCTTTTTCTGTATTTCTCAGTCTCACATACTTTTTTTTTGGGAATATTTTGTAATTATTTAATTCAGGCCATACGAGAGAAAATCAAACTTAGTGGTCACTTTCAACCTTTATTAAGTTACCACCACTGACAGGCAAAAATAAATTGGGAACTTCTGTGTCTGTTGTTGAAAGGGCGGGTGAGACATTGTGTTGTGGTTTACAGATAGGCTGCGATATCTTCGCCATTCGGCCCAACACATCTGATTTGACCAAAATCCTAGTCACCTCTTGAGACATGCTTGTTAGCGGGTTGTAGGTCTGTTTTCCAACTACCACAAAATAAGGCGGGAAATTAGAAATTGTTTCATGTTGTATGGATAAAATCTGCTACTCATTTCTTAACAATCAGTACCTAATGTTACATGTTACAGCTGTTTGCATAAAATAAAACAGGTTTATTGTTATTTGTCCATTTGCAGGTACCAACAACACCAGCCTGTAAATCTCTGAAACCTATAGAGGTATGTCCTCTGCAGAATTTATTATAACTTACTTGTCAGAACTTTAGAAAACATCTAGTTCTGAATATTCTGAACCAGATGAGTTGGCAGCTCTTGACAACCCAATCAGAATGATTGAAGTTAGTGATTAAAGATTAAAAATGATATAAAAGTACTTATATTCTGCTGTGGGCCCTGAGGTGCACAGATTAGGCTGTACTGGATTTACAGAGATTGTTGTTAAAGTACTCTCGCTGGGGGACCTGGTACTCAGTGGAGAGAAATTGAGCCATATGGAATAAAACTGCAGTGAAGTCATTCCTCTTGCCCCTCTAACTCCTGCCCCAGTGCTTCAGTAGTGAGTGCTTTTGCAGACTGCTGGAGTCACAAGGTATTGTCTGTAAATGGATCAGTTTCAGTAAATAATGTTTCTTCTCTGAAATTTAGTACTTTTCTGAAGGAGTATTAGTTTGTTCTGTCTGAAAATGAAAAGTACTGTTTTTGCTTTAGCTGATGAAAAAGTATATGACAACTGAAAATCAGATCACAGTACTCATTTTGTCTAGATGGCTTGTTTTGTGCTTTGGGTCAGTTCAGATATAAGACAAATAATGGTTATGGATACAGTTTTAATGCTGTCAATGACAAGTGCACACACAGAGTAGGCACAGGTCCCAAGTTAGTTGCAGCATGTAAACCAAGGACTAAATTACCTGCTTGCCACTGAAGAATTCTTTTACCAAATGAAGAAAACTCTCAATGAATACAATATTGCAAACATGTAATTCATTCCTACTAGCTATCACCAAAAGAAAAAGTTGATGTGTATCTATCATACCTAGTGAGATAGTAAAAGGCCTTGACGGGTATAGTTGTTATATCCACTTAAAGTGTTAGGCTGAAATTTGATGTGTGACAATCTAGTGCTTGTGTTACTAGGGTAGAGCTTTCCAAACTATGTTGTCACACAGTGCGTTGGCTTTGGAGTTTAGTTGTAAAACTGTATGTGGTGTCCGTATCCCTTTGAGAGGTTATTTTAACCTATGGTTTGCTAGTAGACTAGGGGCTCGCCTGCGGATCAGGTCATGGATCCAAGAGGAGCCCGATTTTTTCTTTAAAAATGACCTTGGCCCCCGGGTCAACCCAGCCTTGAGTGGGTACCAGGTGAAGTCCTGGGAAGTAAAGATGGCCGGCATGATGCTGACCACATCACCCAACAAGTGTCGATTGATCTATACAATTTAAGACTAGTCCAATACGCCTGAAGATGTGGAAAAGGGTTCTGGACTTTGTTTGCTAGTAGACTGAATTACAGTTACACAAAATTATGTTTATGGAAAAAGTGTCACCAACATAAAAAGTTTGGAAACCTCTGCTCTAGAGTGCAAGGATTTCCTGTGCAGGGATGAATTAGGTCATATGTATAGATTTAAATAGTAAAACAAAGTAATACATAGTTTGACTCCAAAACTTACTTCTACCAATCTTCAATTGGTTTGCCCTACAGGAGCAGAATGAGAATTCCCCTGGCATTGCACGAATGACAAGTCCTACCAAAAGCATTACACGGACCACAAGTCCTACCAAAATCAATCTTCATGAGAGAGTCGTCGGACTGGCCAGTGAGGTCATTGCCAGTATCTCACCTCTAACCAGATCAGGTATGAGTTGTATGTGAGTTCTCACACCTTTTATTCTTTTACACTTAAAAAAAAAGCTCTGTTAAGCTCACCTTGAAAAGGGGGTGTGTGTCAGGTACAGTTTTTAAATTTTTTTTTAAACCTTATATTCTGAATGAGAAAGTAGTGGTAAAGTAAAGAATGTTTCTCATACCATTAGCAAATCAAGACATAATGGACTAGACCCATATTTTTATATAGACCTGTCCACTCCAATGATGTGTTCAACTGTCTACTCCCCAGACTTTATGGTATGCATTTTTGGCTTTTTCAATGTGGGGCTAAGGTAATATATTTTTTTAAAATCTGCCTGATGCCGCATTAAAAAACTTCTCCCCCCCCCCCCCCCCCCCCCCCCCCCCCCCCCCCGCCCCCCGAAGGGTTAAGAATTGGGCACACAGCCCTGTCTTACATTCTGCCCTTCTGACCTGACTTCATGCATACATTATTCCATTCATACATCAACAGATAATGATAATAATGAAAATCTTCAGCAATATATTCCGATCTAAGAGAATGTTGGCAAGCAAGTAACAAGCGACTAATGTTTTATTTAACCATCTCTCCTGTCAATGATTTTTGAATAGCCCTGGTACAAATTCTGTTTCAGTATCTTCTTCTTCGGGCTCACTGGCTGTAAACTCTGACGGATAGTTCTGGTTGTTCACGTCCACTTCTGGACTTTAGTCTTGTTCCAGAACATGAGTGTTGCATGCAGATCTGGCATATTTGTTTGCAGACGGTTGGTTCCTTGTCTCTCAGGCAGATGTATTCTGACTTCGAAGGAAGCCCCCAGTTAGTAGACTCCTACAACATGCTTGTAAGCGAGGCAGTAGGTCTGTTCTTGTGTTCCCCACAATCGTGCCCTAGAGCCAACATGGAGATGTTTCAGCATCATTTAAAAAAAATTAATTTATTTGATAATATGTAAATGAATATCGTTTAAACCACCACACAAAAGCAGCAACGAACTCCACCAGTCTACAGCCACTGAGCTTTCCAGTTGTCACATGTTCTTCATTGTCTCCTTACTCATATGAATGAAAAACACCCTACCTTCCCCCCCCCCCCCCCTCCCTTTTATTTGAATTTTATGGTCTACTTTCATTAGCTTTTCTCAGGGAATTATTATAGGTACTCTGGCTTTAGAAAGCATTCACTGGCTGTAAACTCTGATGGAAAGTTCTGGTTGTTTGTCCACTTCTGGACTTTGGTGGTCTTGTTCCAGAACTTGAGCTCTTTGTGAACATCCATTTTACAGATCTAGCTTTTTTGTGTGTAGATTATCCCCCACCTATCTCAGGTAGATGCTCTCCAACTTCAAAGACAACACACCTATTTAGTCGTATTACAACATGCTTGTTAAGAGGGCAGTGGGTCTTTTAGTTTTTTTTTCCTCTCTTCTTAAATGGTGTCCCGGAACCCACACAGGAAATATGTGGTTCAGTTCAAGCTGATGTTGATTTAGCAGTAGATCACTTCTTGTTGATTTCGGCAATGGTATGGAGAGCTGACCGCTCAGAAAGTAATGGCAGATTACTGAATGGAAAAATTGCATAGTTCAACCAAAAGGAAATAAATGCTGGGGAGAATTTGCAACATCCTTTAGGAGACAGTAATGGCAAGTAATTTCAACTCTGGCTTTCCAAAGCCATCTGCCAATTTCGTCTTAGAAATTTAGAACAGTTTGCTGGTTGATTTTTATGGCATTGTTACTGGGTAATATTTGTAATTTAATTTTTTTTTTCTTTAGCAAAGAAACGAGAGAAAGATGTTAAGAGAAGTAAAACTTTGACAACTGCAGCCCCATTTGATTTGGCACCATATTCTGTGAGTTAATTTGGTATTTATGAGCTGTCTTTTTGACAGTTTTGTTTAGAATGCAACTGATAACAAAACCTTTGTGCCTGTTGATTGTACATTGGAGAAAAACTTTAATCTGTAGATTCACAATAATATGGTGTTAGCGATGCCTTAAGAAAACCCCCTGTTATCTTCACATGCAGAAAAATGGAGCTGCCAAACATAAGGCCGCAGGTCATGGAATGTTAAAAGTGAAGATACCTTTATCATGGCTGTCAGGCATATGATGTCTGGCTCATATTTTTGTAGATGAATCAGCATTTGGTGGGCAATGTCTCTAGCACACCAGCAGCCAGATTTACTTCCCAAGACTTTATGTTGTACCCCTATTAGACTGAGCCGACCTGGAGGCAGGGGATCTGCTCCACCCCCTTTCCTCCAAGGATCCCAGAACCCACAGTGTATGGGTAGTTTGTGTCCAGCACAGTGGCTGTTTACTCACAGGCTTTTTGTCAAGCCCAACTGCTGATTTTGCCCATTTTAAAGGAAAGGATGGGGTCTGCTTCCCCTCAACCCGTGGCTGAATCCAAATTTGTCCTCATTATATGCTGAAAGTTCTTTCCCCATCCTGATCATATATAAGCAATATTCTCCAAATTCAATAAAGACCACAGTAAAAGAGAGATGTTTAACTTAGTTTATTACTGAGTTTTTAACATATAATTGTTATATGTTGTGACTATATGGAATTTGTGCTCAGACAGTAGTACACCATATCTATAATAATTGTAAATTTTTGTTGTTGTTGGAAACAATATTATAACCACCCCGGACTTGATACTGTAGCGGCGTATTGGGCAGACACCACCTTACTAATGCCACTGTTTCAATATCCTGTGGAGACATACACTTTTCCACACCACATGCATTTCTGCACTGTTTTAGACTCTAAAAATGTTAAAAGGCTTCCTATATTAAAAAAAAGACTAATAAACTGTACTCTTAATATGATTTGCCATTTACCAGGTGTACTGTAGCATTAGTCGGCTTTGTGGCTAAGTCGATGCGAACGCTTCGTAATGCCGGTATACCGGGTTCGATCCCAGCTGTGGGCCATGCGCCCTGCATTGGTTTCGACAGTGTTATCAAGAAAGCCGACTATCCAGAAAGCAATGGCAAATTACTGGACATAAATTTGCCTAGAAAAACCACACAACAGCCAGGGGCTGCTGGGGTTGATTCTGCGTCCTGTAAAGGATACGCAACTAACTATAGCAATCAAGATTAACATAACCCAATGTTTTTAAAAGAGGTAGAGTACCACACATTATTATTTGTTTTTTGTTTTTTTTCCCCTCTACGACAGGCTGCAGATGATGTCCAGAATGAAAATGCGAATCCCTTCGGCACAAGAAAATCGTCCAGACTCAGAACCAGATCAAAACACACTGCTATTTAGTTTTCACTTGACATTTTTTTAAATTAACAAACTTCTGGTGTGCAAAAAATAAACTCCGATAATAGTTGCCAGGTGGCACTTATATGTGTACATTTTTTTTAAAACAATGATTCCATTCACATTGGAATGTTATGTTGTGATGCTGCTACTTATGCGTGTTAAGTAGGGATGGTGCTATAGGGTTTCGCTGTAATTAATTTATTTGTACACCACTATAGACACTGTCCTATTTGTACACCACTATAGACACTGTCCTATTTGTACACCACTATAGACACTGTCCTATTTGTACACCACTATAGACACTGTCCTATTTGTACACCACTATAGACACTGTCCTATTTGTACACCACTATAGACACTGTCCTATTTGTACACCACTATAGACACTGTCCTATTTGTACACCACTATAGACACTGTCCTATTTGTCCAATATATGACTTTTTTGAATGTTTATATTAATTTCAAATCTCTCTCTCTCTCTCTCTCTCTCTCTCTCTCTCTCTCTCTCTCTCTCTCTCTCTCTCTCTCTCTCTCTCTCTCTCTCTCTCTCTCTCTCTTTCTGTCTCTCTCTCTCCCCTCTCTCTCTCTCTGTTTGTGTGTGTGTCTGTCTGTCCCAAGCTCTCTAAATCTGATCTCTTCTTCCCTCTCTTTCTGCTTTTCTCCATTACCCTGTAAACATGCATGTGTGGCATGTGAAACCATACATGCAAGTGTTTATTATTCGCTGTTGCTTTGGTCAATATAAGTTGTTCCTTTTGGCAAGTAACAATTTCCTGAAATCCCACAAGAGCAGGACTATTCAACTGGCAACCCAATGGCTGAATGGGGCCCGCACACGCCTGGCATGTGGCCCACAGATTATTGCCAGCTGTATTGTATTCTTGATCTTTTTACACTGGGACACTTGCCACGGGTCCCTGACAATCTCCATTTCCAACATTTAGTGGGTGTACTTAGTTGTACAACCCTGCTCTAGAGGCAGCTGTGGCTCAGTTTGCTTGGATCCAGGTTAAGTGATATGTGTTGTATAAAATAAACTAAGAATGTTACATTTTTAATAATTGGATTGTGTTGATGTATTCTGACCTTGTATTTAGTAAATAAGGTTAAACAAAAACCATTACACACCAGTGGTATGGCAGTAAACTCTTGTTAGCATGAAACTGCCTAAGAAGGACTCTCAGTTAACATGAACAAAATATTGGCCCATGCAGGGAAGTATAATTGTTAGTTTCCAGTAAGTATGCATTTTTAAAAACATGAACTCGATTTTCAGTCCATTGGAATTTGTGTAAATGGGGTTTTACTGTAGATCAAATGGTGCTCAGTAGATGATCTGGTCAACATAGTGCAGTCTGCTTTACTTCCCAGGGCATTGCCTGACACCCATTTTAGGCCCGGAGCCCAGATCAGCTATAAAACTAAATCCATCCTGATGCAGGTTCACATACATAACCTCCAGGCCAGAAGCTAGCATCTAGCCATTGACCACAGTAAAATATTGAGGTGTGCTTTGCACACAGGTAAGGGATTTAATTCCTGAAGTCAACATTTGTAAAGTTATGTTGATCTTCATTCCAGGACATAAGTTGTGGGCAGTGAAAGTGCAGACTGACTGGCTGGCAATGCCACTATATCAAGCAGTGGACTAAGCGGATGTGAATGTCTTTAAGTAGCCTGCCAGAACAGTTTTTCAACTAAATGAATCTTCATCACTAGAGTGCAGAATTTCATATTAAAGATTGGTGTGGTCAGGAAGGAGCAGTACTTTAAATGCGCAAAGTAGGTAGTCAGTCAACATTAGGCATCGTTAGACGCTAGATTTTGATGGATCCGTCATGGAAAAGACAGGAGCATTTATGTGCTAGTCAAAGGGTTAATATTGAAAACTGTAACTTAATAGAGTGATGTACTGCAGAATAGTTTTAGAGACATTGTGTGAATTCTGACATATCAGTTACTTGTTCCATGTTGTTTAAATCATGAACAATTGCTATACATCGCCTCTGTAACATACTTGTGTGATACAATATCCTGTATTTTCTCAAATATGTGTGAATATATATATATTTTGTGATGAATTTTCTTTTGTACTTGAACTGTGCTTTAATTATGTTGCCTACCATCATTATATATTTAAATGCAAATGATCACTTTGAAAAATCAAAATCAAAATGCTTGTTGAATATAATTTAATAGAATTAAATCAGATATAAAGGCTGACAAAAGGTTATAACACCCTCCCCCCCCCCCCCCCCTTTTCCCCAAAGACCCTTGTTATGCCAGGGGTGGATAGGGTATGTGATGCTAGAGGGGGGGGGGGGGGGGGGGGGGGAAGAGCAGTCAGCATCATTCTGGGCCCAGTGCTTATTTTAGGCTGAGTCGACTGACATTTAACATTACAATCTTTAAAAAAAAAAATCTGCTCTTATATACCACACTGTTAAACAGTTGCAAAGAAAAAATGGTTATTATGATGTTAATGAATGTATCCATACACACAGTAGCAATAATGACTATTTTAATCTTATGTGAGTGAATGTTTTAGGGTTTCATGTTAGTGTTTTGTTTTTCAATGATAAAAAGGTTACATTTGTCAGCCTGTGTAGAAATATACTGTTGTTTAACAGTGGGGACTGTTGATGTCTATTCTTCTAAATCACTTTGTCCATCTTTACTACTAATAAAATTGTTATCATAATGACTTGTGATTTCTTTTTTCTTCCACCTTTTCTTTTGAAAAATCCGCTATCTAAAAGTCTCTGGTTTGGAATGATGATGAGCTAGTTTAAAAACAAACGTAATATAGGGAAGTGGAGCCACCTTAAAGTGAATACAAGGAAATGCTCACGGAAGTTGAGTTATGAGTTAAATTATCTTCACAGCACTCCGAACACATCCATAAGCGCTCAGATTCCCCTCTCAACATATTCATCAGCATTGTGCGGTTAATAGTACCAGTCCTATGTTGGTTAACAAGACTTTGTGTGCTTCACTCAGCACGAACACACTGGAATAGTCCTGTGATCCCAGCCACATGAAAGCCTGTGTCACCGCCATCGCCCCCATCGTCATGCTGCTGGTGGTCATGGAGAAGGCGCCGCTGGCTCCCTGAACTGTTCTGCCTGAAGAGGGAGCTGTAAATGCCCATGCACTCTTATGTCCTCGTATAACGGACCCGTTCACCCACTCACGGAAGTAAAAATGCCCAGCATGATGTAGCCCGTGTTTTCATTAACTAAAACAACTGTTTCTTTTTAATCTGATCTGCATCATCAGCAAAAATTAAATTCACAAATGATTTTAATGTGTAGTTTTGTTCAGGTCTGAAGACTGCAAAGAGTGGAGAACTTGTCATTTAAGGGATTGTGAACTTTGGCACCTTCATCATAGTCCTTTAACTTTGTCAGTTTCAGAAGCTTTCACAGCATATGCCAAATAGAGTATATACCTAGCCATTATGAAAGATCACAAATACATGAGTTTCAAAGAAGCTAGAAGCACTGAAAGTGGTTTTTGAAAAGAATTATTGAAGTGTGGAATGATTTATAAAAACAAAAACAAATATTGCTCCCTGGGATCGATGAAAACCATAAACTGATTAGAGAAATTGGACACAGTGTTTTGTGTGTGGACATATTATCAGACAGAATGGACTCAAGAACCTGGCGACAAGTAACAATGTGGGGGGGGGGGGGGGGGGGGGGGGGGGGGGGGGGGGGGGGGAGCGTTGGAGCAAGCAAGAGGATGGTAAAGAGATAATACATCGACGGCTGGGCCATATGGATGGGGCTCGATTAGAACACTTACCTTATCCATGATTCAGATGATCATTTAAAATGACAACCTATGCTTATTGGCACAGCACATGATTGTGATGATTGCTATGGGAGAGTTGCAATGGTGCAGGAGCTAGCTTACTTGCAAGCCCAGATGTGTCTTGCGTTTGAATCCACATCATGGTGGATTTCTCAAATAAACTGAAGTCTCCTAGAATCCTTTATAAATTTTCTTCAGGTTTCTTGCTGGTGTGTTGGGAAACGAGCAGGCAGATAAACTGGCCAGCTCTACACCACTGGGTAAATTGATATATGCTAAGCTAGATGTTGTGAGGGTCGTTTGGAAGCGAATAAACGGTGTGGAGGCACAAAGAGATAATTAGGGTCTCTGGAGAATGGTGCTGCGGGGAGTTACCAGGGGATTTGGCTGACACTGAAGGGAAAGGTGAGACGAAATGTATCTTCAATCAGACAGTTACTGGTGTCATCAAAACTCTTCACTTGCTGCTGAAGATAGAGACAGTGTGCTTATGGAAGTGTTACGAATGCTATGATGTCAATTCTTAAAGAACTTTCCTAGCTGCAGGTGGGTACCAGGAAAAGTGGAAAGTAAAAGTGGCTGGGTTGGTCACATCACTCATCAAGTGCTGATTAGTCTAGCATCATGTGCCGATGATGATTTTACTTACCATGACCAAAAATTAGAAGGGGGGAAAAACCCTGATTAATTGGTAACTTTTTTCTTTCCGGATGTTGTATTATACTCTGCTATAGGGAGATATGGGACTCAAAGCCCCAGTTAGTGAGTAAGAATGGCAACACCAACACCTACTACCATAGCAAAATGTTGAATTAAGAATCGGCATAGCAGCACTCTGGACACTCCCATAAGTGCTCAGTCCCCATTTTCAGCAGCAAGCGAAGAGTTCCAATTCTGATGGTACCAGTAACTGTCTGATTGTATATTTGTCTCATCTTTCCCCTGAGTATTGAGCGTCAGCCAGATCCCCTGGTAACTTCTCGCAGTGCCATTCTCCCCAGACCGTAATGATCTATCTGTGCCTCCGCACTGTTCACTTGCTCCCAAAAGGCCCTCACAATATCTAACTTGTCATACATCAGTTTTCCAAGTAGTGAAGAGCCAGCCAGTCTATCTGCCTGCTCATTTCCCAACACACTGGCATGACGAGAAAATACCCAAAGGATGCTAACTTCCCAGGACTTCTAAAGTGAGGCTTGCCACTCTGCAGGAAGCATGCCTGTCTTCCCCTTTCTCAACATGCTCTACTACCTAAAGCTTGGGCCCTATTGTAAAGACCATGCCTTGATTATTTGAAAAAGAAAAAAAAAAGTACGACGTCAAATTCATTAATTCTTTGTCCTGTTATAGAGCATCAAATGATCTGGTCAGAATGGAACAAAATCAGCAAGAATCACACACAAATACACAGTTATCTGAAGGCGCGTTTTTTAAATTAGTTTGTAAATAAAAGATCGTACTCGGGTATGTGAAAAGCAGACTCAAATGTTGTTTACCGTGGGTGTGAAGTACGTGTGTTTTTGCAGTCGTTACAAAGCAGTGGTCAGTTGTGTTCTAAGACCATATTTGTGAGCATAGCTCATAATGCATGCACAAGAAAGCAACACAATTTACGCAACCGCCAAAATCATCTTCTTTGGGCAAAGACGTGTCTTGTTCAGTGACAAATCTTTCTATTTATCTCATTGAGTCCCAGGGGAATTCAGCATCACAGGCCCAAGGAGGGTTGAGAGAGACGTAAAATCTGCGTTAATTGGGCATCTAGGTAGGAATCTATGAACGTATGATGCGTTCCTTGAGACTCAAGAGTTATTCAGCGTCATGATAGACCCTTCCATGGCCATCCCTACCTACAGACATGAGTCTGACTGAGCACCTGTTGGATGAGCTGCAAAGACATCTTTGTCATCAAACGTTGCTTCAGCCAATGGTCGTGAACTGTTCCATTCACTCCAGGAAGAGTGGGCAGCCATCCCACAGGCCCACATCAGACATCTAATCGCATCCATGCCCAGATGCCTAACAATTATTGTGACCCAGATGCAAAATTTAAAAAAAGGTCAATTGGTTGGTGGTGCTCTAAGGTATTCTTGTGTGAAATTGAGTACTTTCACTTATCGCATTACAAAGTAGCAAAATGTCAATTGTGAGTATGTATGTTCCTTTCAGTTGCTATGTGTTTCCTTTTTTGTTGACAGTATACATGAGAACAGTAGGCTACAAGGCAAAAGGCGGACCAAGAAAGATATGGGTAGGTGGAGTAAAACAGACACTACAGAAATGCAATATGATGTTAACACAAGCTACGCAATTAGTAAAAGCCAGGAAACTACATCTCACTCCCTTCTGCGACACTTCACAATAGGACAACAGAAAAAAATAAGATTGTCCTGTTATATGTCATATAGGGCTCGCAGTCTATTTCTCCATTCCGTTCTGTGCAATCATTCTGATATTATGAATGGAACCCAGTCCAGCACCCTTGGCTTCTCTCACTCATTAACATTCACTTTAGGGTTTCTGATAGGCATACTTGTTTCCTCAATCCCTGAATTTCTCACTTCAGTGCTTATTTGGTGATTCTCTGTTCATCTTTTCTCAGAATGTTCCATCTTCTCTCTCCTATAATTATTGATACTAGTGGTTGCCCAGGTCGTAGATCACAAGGCAGACCAAAAAAATTATGGAGAGATAATATCCAGACAGACCTGCAAACTTCTTGGTGTCACCAGCTGGAAAGAGAAGGCCAACCAGAGAGATGAATGGAGGCAGGTGATCACTGCAGCAATGAACCTCAAGGGCTCGGAATGCTGAAAAAGAAGAAGTGGTTGCCCAGACATTTCTATTATTTCTTCACCCCTCTTGAAGTTATCCCATTTTATGTTCGCCATTTTCCTCAGGACTTTTATTTTGAATGTATTTAACGTTTGTTCCATAAGACAAATAAGGGACAAAATGCAAGAGAAAAAGGCAGTCATACAATGAATTTCTTGGCACCGAAAAAAAAAAAATAATGAACGCATCTGACACCACTGCAGATAATATTAGCTGATAGCAGTTGAGTTGAGTAAAGAATTGACATCACAGCACTCAGGGCATTCCCATGCATGCTCCGTCCTCATCTTCAGCAGCCAGCGCAGAGTTCCAATACTGATGGTACCGGTCACAATCTGGTTATATGTCTGTCATGCCTTTCCTCAGTGTAGTGAGCCGGCCAGACCCTCTGGTTACACCCAGGTGCCTTATTCTCTCCAGGCCATAATAATCTTGTTTATCTACTAATTCCGTTGCTTGTTCTTAAAGGGCCTTGACAGCAATAGCTGATAGCAACAGGAGCTGAAACTTTTTGGCTGACACAATGTCTCTGGGTGCTCGCTCAGATTTTTTCCTTTGCTTCTTTTGCAAATTACGTAATCATTACGAATTTGATCTCTTACAAAACAATCTAACACGTATGAACAGTTAATCAAAATGTTCCTTTCTTTTCTTCTCTACTCCTTCTTTTTGTTTCCTTACGGCTGCCTTGTTTTTAGTCAATGCTTGGAACTGGAGCCAAACTTACAAGTCTAACACAAAATAATAACCTCAGGTCAACACAAATGTATCTGAAGAGTATATTTAATGTTCATAAAAATTGCACTTGTTTTTAACATTAGGTTCATGTTCCGTTTCCCTTTGACAAAATTAGACCAGCAGATGCATATACAAATCTAAGATCATGTTTTATTTACTCGCTCTTTCTCACTAATTTCCCACCCCCAACTATCTCTCTCTCGTCTACACCTACACACACACTTCAGTTGCCAGGAAATTTTTTTTCTTGCATTAAAAAAAACACATAAATTATCATGTTCACTAAATTTCTCCATCCTTCCTCTGTTCTTTCTAATCTCTTCTCTCCTGAAAATATACTCAAAAACACACTTTGTTTTTAAAAATTGATTCCTAATGAATCTTTCTTTCTTTTTCTTTATTTGAATGAAATCAAAACAAAAACAAATAAAAATTAAAGTTTATCATATAAACTAATATACAAAAAGTAATTTTAATCTACAACATTTTAGCTTACATAGAGTAATTGTAATTTTCAACATTTTAGCTTACAAAAAGTAATTATAATTTACAACATTGTAGCTTACAAAGAGAAACATTTACACAACTTAAATACATGAAAATGGTTCATATGTGTCTGTTAATGGTGAGGGTGACTGAATGTCTTCTTGTGGTCTCTCACAGGCCATCAAGTTGTGGGACCAGCTAAACTCACTGAGCTCATAGAATCTGCAAAAAAGATGATGATATATATGGTACTGACAATTTAAAAATTTTTCTTTGACAATATTTTAATATCTTTATTGGACAATTTTAGTTGCCCATGTCTTCCCTGTCCGGTAGGATTTATATAACTAATGTAGAGAAATATATATTATCTATTAGAGAACTATATATAACTAATGTAGAAATAAGCAGAGATAGAGAGACATTAGGTTATCAATGTCAGACTTGGACACTAACAAAAGAACATGAGAGAAGACTAACCACCTGTGAAATGAGATGTTTGAGAATGGCTGCGAATAAAACCAGAAGAGATCGAGTGAGAAACGATGTGATTACAAGAACTATTGGAACCATACCCATCGTTAAATTTATTGAGAAGCAAAGAATGAAATGGTTTGGTCACCTAATGAGAATTTAACCAACGATGCCAGCATCAAGAGCATACAATATGAAAATCGAAACAACAAGAGGCAGGGGAAGACCAAGAAGAAGATGGATTGAAGGAGTCACGGACAACTTGAGACTTCTTAAAATCACGGCATATGAAGCGACTGAGCGCGCCCTGGCTCGGTTGCCGATCATCTGATAGACTGCGACGCCTAGCGGCACAAGCAGATTTTGACAAAAGAAGAAGAAGAAGAGAGACATAGACAGCAAAACAATTATGTCTAGATCTAGTGAGCCCTCTGTGTTTTTGTGTGTGGACATTTTATGAGAAGGAATGGACTTTTCGTTCTCCCTGCCAATGATTTTAAGATAGGCATGTCTGTAGTCTATGATGCGGCTCATGTCTTCCACTGTTTCATACAGCCTGGTTTCCTTTAGAATGCCAAACCTGGGATCTCTCTCCTGCATGTAGCGAGCATGTCTGTAGCACATCTTCAGTATTCTGTTGTGCCTGTACACATGGGCAAAGTTCTGAATTCCCAATCTTGAATTTCCTGTACTTTGGCTGCAGTCGGCTGTGTCTGTCCGCAGTCTAAATATAATGTTCTGTTTCTTCCTTGTGAAGAGGTTGATGAAGTCTTCAGCCCTGTGTCCTGGATGGGAAGGGTTCCAGTGGGTTTTAATGGCTGCCTTGACCTAAGTATTATTTTCCTTATAGGTGAATCATGTAACTGGCTGTTCCAAATGACTTCCAGTGGACCTGAGAACTTGGGAAGACTGGCAACACTGATGGAAAGAGAGCATGAGGGAGAAAGAGAGATAATTACTTGGATGGACTGGCAAGAAAAAGGTCAAGAAATGACCTGATATGTGATCGTGTGAGATGGCGAAACATGACAACTTAATGCTTACTGGCACAACCCATTATGATGATGATAACGATGAGCGTGTCCTATCTCTACTTTTGTCTTCAAGTTATCAGTCCATTTTAAGTTATTTATTTATCAAACATAACCGCCAAGGGAAAAAGAGTGTGAAAGTTTAATGCAGTGTAAATAAGGCTAAATTACTTTTCTGTTTTTTTTTTTTTAAACGAGTTTCCATTTTAATTTTACAAGTTTAAAAAATATATGATAGGAAGTTGACACAGCCTAAAAGGGGTCCCGGGTCAAATCCCATGAAGTCCCTGTGTGGATTCCGGGTCCCATTATGGGGGAAAACAATAGACCCAATGCCTCCTCAACAAGCATGTCATAAAAGTCGACTAACTGGGAGCTTCCTTCAAAGTCATAGCACTTTTGCCTGAGAGTTAAGGAACCAACAGTCTGCATAGAAATAAGCAAGATCTGTAAACTGGATGCACACGCAAAACACAGGTACTGCAACAAAGCCTCTGTCCAGAATTGGATAAACAACCAGGTCTTCCTGCCAGGGTTTAAAGCCGATGAACGTAGAAAAACAACAACAGATCCTAGGAAGTAAAGGTGGCTGGCACAGTGAACAGCCACATCGCCCACTGAGTGTCAGTTGGTCTATAAAAATATATCTAGCATCATATTCTTGCTGCGCCACTGATGAGATAAAGTTCCTTTACTTTTTAACAGTATGTTAGCATGAACAGTTATTAGAAATGTCAGTTAGTTTGACGTTCGTCTCCCCAAATAGAGCAGGTCAATTTTCATTCACAAGTTTGTTGGGCTGGTCGACTTTCCTGAAGGTTACAGTTTGGTTTCTGCCATGTCTTGCATTTAGGTTTTCATTTTGAGAAAGACAATGCCTGTGACATAGGTTGCAACACTCTCTAGGGGAGTTGTGTTAGACCCAGTTTCTCCATGTTTTTGGAGTTTTAAAAGCGCTGGCGTGCTGAAATATACAACAACGATATCAACTGCATTGCAGTACACCCCCGTAACCGTGTGCGAAGGTCACGGGTCTCAGGAACTGCCAATGAGAAGTGAGCTAGTGTGTATATAGGCGGGGTCGGGGGAGACTAACCTCGAACTAACCGAAATGTCATATTTAATTGTCATCTTCTATGACATATAACAGGTGTTCTGATTTCATGCCAGTGAAATAATAGAATGGGTGATGACTCATACCTATCCTCAATGGTAAACTGAGACACAGATCCAGTAAATGTTCTGGCTGGACCATCTTTAGATTCTCCTATGACTAGAGTGTGAGGAGTTGTCAGATCTTTGCTGGCAAAACCCCAGAAGCCACCATAGGAGATGCTTACACTTTGATCCCAAGCCTTTACAGAAACACTGAAAAGAGAAATAATTTCGTTAAAACATTTTAATAGATAATTCCTTAATTATTTCAGGGAGTAGAAAACAGTTGGCTCTAGAAAAATAAGGAAGGTGAAAAGAGATTGTACTTTAGAAGAAACTACTAGCATACTTGACTGAAGAAACTACTAGCATACTTGACTATGCAGATAATATAGATGTATTTGGAGATAATGCACTACAGTAAAAAAACACTTGACTGCTTGGCACGGGACTAAAAATCGAGCATCTACGCACAAGGGATATGGTCATTCAAAAAGAACTTGACACTATTGAAAAAAAAAAGCAGCTTAAAAAATGGGACTAGTTATCAATCAGAGAGGCAAAAACTGTACACATATATGTTTTGGGACTCACTAAGCATGACAACCCCCCACCCCCTAACATACGACAGGGCCTGCAACACGAATAGGCATGAATGGAAGAGGAAGTCACTCTCTGGGGCGAAAAAGATAAGCACCAGAGTGGCTCCCATCACAGCCCATCTGAAAGAAACTCGCCAGCTCTCCTGTCATTCACTTTCCTGTGCAAAGTGCCTCTTAAGTCCTGTGTCAACCTCAGTGCTCCTTGGCCTCTGCCTTATTTGTCCATTATCGGGCCCTTCATTGCAGTTTTGTCTAGGTAATTGTGACATTTGATAAAACTACTGTATTTAGGTACTCAATGTCCAGCTTTGGGAGATAACTTAACAAGTTCCAGCGGACCTAGAGTTGAAGAAAAGACGCTGGCTTTGGGTAGGACTCACATGATAAAGCCACAGACCAAGAAGATGGCGGAGAGATGACATCCATGCAGATCTACAAACAGCTGAATTCACCAACTGCAAAAAGTCAATAACAGAGATGAATGGAGGTGGATGATATCTGCAGCAATGAACCTCGAGAGCCGGAATGCTGAAGAAGAGGGAGAGTAGAAAAAAGTAGTATCAACAGCAAAACTGTAGAATACTTCTTCCTTGTTAATATTCAGACATTTTATAAATGTCTCTGAGAAAAGCAGTAGTGTTAACACCAAAACTGTAGAATTCTTCTTCCTTGCTCATTCACATTCAGACATTTCATAAATGTCTCTGAGAAAAGTAGTAGTTTCAGTATCATGTTCTTGATGTTCGTCGGCTTGGGGGAAATGAAGTTGGCTGATACCATATTTGTATACATATGTTAAATTAAGAACAACATCACAGAACTCTTGACACTCCCATGAGCATTCTGTCCCCATCTTCAGCAGCAAGTAAAGCCTTCTAATTCTGAATTCACCAGTAACCATGCATATATTGTAGGATACAGTAAGTAAACAACTTTTTTTCACATCTAGAGGGTTATTAAGCAAGGTATTTAAGTTTAAAAAAAAAAAAAAAAGGTAAACAACCCATTTCATGCCATTGGGGTACTGGGTATATGATGATTGACTCGTATGTTTATAGACCAATCGGCACTCAGTATGTGATGTGGTCAACATCATGTAGGCTGCCTTTACTTCCCAGGACTTTATCCAGAACCCGTTTTAGGCTAATCAGTATCTAATGAGTGATATAGTTAACACAATGCCAGCTCCCCTAACTTTCCAGGATATGTCCTGGTTCCTATGTTAGACTGGGTCGACCTGGTAGACTAATAGCCCATTCTTTATGAAAATGATAAAATAAGTATAGAAAATGTGTTAATTTGTCAACTGTTAAACTAGTTCTTGTAGATCTTAAATAACTCCATCTCTCAACTGTATGTTTTTCATAACAAAATTGAATAGTTACACTAAATAGTCGCACTTACTCGCTGCCTCCATCTGTGATTGTGATCAAAGTAAAGTAACTCTTGTCTGCTTCTGGTCTAATTATCACAGCTTCAGAATCATCAGAGCTGACATCAATGCCTGCCACAGTCAGAGTCACTTCAATATCAAATGACTGAAATGAAAATAATACATGGTTATGAATAAATAAATAGATTTAAAAAAAAAAAAAAAATATATATATATATATATATATATAGACAGAGAGAGAGAGAGAGAGAGAGAGAGAGAGAGAGAGAGAGAGAGAGAGAGAGAGAGAGAGAGAGAGAGAGAGAGAGAGAGAGAGAGAGAGAACAAACGAACGAACGAACGAACAAACAAACTTTATTTTTAAAGGGTTAAGAATTGGGCACGCAGGCCCGTCTAACATTCTGCCCTTCGAGGTCTCCCTCCATTCTTACTTCATTTCATTCACACATCAAGTAATATTAAAAGTTAGCAATAGCATCAAAATAATCAATACAAGCACTGGAATGTGCACATTTCTAACTACAGTAAAACGTATTAGTTGTAACAAATCTAAGAAAAATTAGCGCTATTTTTCACATATGTTTTATCTTCTATGGGGGCATATAATCGGTGCTCAGATAATATTCGAACAGTTTCCGATTGTATGTATATGGACTAGTGGTACTTTTGATTTGCTGTGGTAGATAGTTCCACAATTGAGCTGCGGAATATGACAGACTTGTTTTATAAAGGTCTATCCTAGGTTTAGGAATGTGTAATATGTTTAGGAGCTTACTATGCCGTTCATTATATTTGAACAACGGCCATAAGTAACATGGAGCCTTTTGAGATAATATTTTGTAAGTATATTTTGCCTTATTGAAAAGTAGACGTTCACGAAGCGGTAATAGTCTAAGACCTTTATATGTTTCGGAGCTCAGTGTTCCATGATTGTTACTAATTAAGCGAATGGCGCGCTTTTGCAGTGATGTGAGTCGCTTGATAACAGAGCTGGAACAGCCATCCCATATTGTAGAGCAATAGTCTACATGTGTCTGGATGTGAGAAATATAGAATATCTTTCTTGTGTGTTCATCAAGAAAGTTTTTAATTTTTGCAAGCTGGTAAACCTTTTTAGCTGTTTGCTTCACAGGTGCTTGTACGTGTGAGTTGAAGGTTAGATTTGCAACAATTACCAACCCCAGTGTCTTGTGCTCAGTTACATTTTCTACTTGAGTGCTCCCAATGTAGAGTTGAAGCGTTCTCTGAGAATTTAAACTGTATAGTTTTTGCCTGGTCGTTATTAGCATAGATTTGGTTTTATTAATGTTTATTTGCATACGGTTTGCACTGCTCCATTGGACTACATTATTTAATTCTTGTTGTAATGAGGACTCTAGTAAATTACATGTTTGAGCATTTGCATAGATGGTACAGTCGTCTGCGAATAAATCGCAGGACGACGACAGACATAAAGGAAGGTCATTTATGTAGATATTGAATAACAGAGGACCGAGAATCGAGGCTTGAGGTACCCCAGTATTTAATTCAGTGGCTTGCGATAGTGATTTATTGTAACAAATTATTTGTTTTCTATTTAACAAAAAGGATTTTATTAACTGTAATAGTCTAGGGTTCAATTTTATTGTTTCTAATTTTCTTATAAGAATGTTATGGTCTATCATATCAAAAGCTTTCTAAGTCTATAAACACCCCGCCACATATTTTCTCATCATTAACATTCTGGTGCCATTTTTCAATCATGTTAGTTAAAGCAGTATGGCAAGAATAGTTTGGTCGAAAACCTGATTGGTTATCCACTATAAGTTTGTTGTGATCTAAGTGCTGAAAAGTTACATTATGAATATGTTTCTCTAGTGGTTTCGATAGTGATGATAACAGGGAGATTGGTCTATAGTTACCTGGAATACTACTGTCTAAGGAACCAGATTTTAGATGCGGATACACTTTGGCAATCTTAAATGCAGATGGGAAGTAGCCTTTGACAAGACATTGGTCATAAGTAAAGGTCATCGACTCACAAATAACTGGGGCAGCACTACGAAGGATCCTATTGCTGATTCCGTCTAAACCGGACGTATTACTGTTTCTGAGACTGTTGAAATGTATAAAAACTTCCGCAACTGTCATGAGAGGAATGGCAGAAGGAATGTCTTCAGGGCATTTATTTTCACAAAATGCTGATAGCAGTGATAAATCACATGGACAGTTTGGCATTGTGGCTTTTACATTTTCTATATTGGCTTCAAAGAAATTACTGAAATCATTCGATGTTATATTAGATGTCAGCAAACGCGTGGAAGTACCTTTGTTTGTCAATGTATTGATTGCCTTCCATTTGTCTTTGCTGTTTCTTTTATCTACTATTAGCTGTTTAAAAAAGTTCTTTTTTTCCTTACGAATGGTATACTGGACTTTGTTTCGCAGATTCCGGTATGTGATTATATCCTTCTTTTTATGCGCCCTATCTCGCTCTCTCATGATTGCAACTACCTCCTGTGTGATCCAAGGGGATTTAGTTTGATGTTTTACACGGACCTCCTTAACTGGCACATGCTTATCAAATACACTAGAGAAGGTTTTCAGCCAATATTCAAGAGCGTCATCTGAATCAGAGAGCTGATAAACGTGGTCAAGAGGTGAATTGAACAAGTCTAGTAGGAATGCATCTTGATTAAAATTTTTATAGCTTCTAAATTTAATACTTACATGCTTTTGTTTAACAGTTTTTTACGCCTTTTTTATTCCACACACAAATTACGGGGTAATGGTCACTCAGTGCTGTAGTGGGTACCTTGCATTCTATAATGTTGTCAGGACATGTTGCATAAATATGGTCTATAAGGGTTGACGACGATTTGGTTATTCTAGTAGCTTGTTTAACTAGTTGTTTGAGATTAAATGAGGTAATTATGTCTTCCCACGTCTTGTTGGATTTTAGGGCATTTATATTGAAGTCCCCAAGAAGTATAATTTCCCCTGCATTGTTGAACACCATATCCATCATATTGGTAAAGTTGTCATACCATATATTATCAGCGCTAGGATTGCGGTAGAGATAACCAACTACGATGGGTTTGTGGTTTTGTAGCTTAACTTCTAAAAATATGCATTCTACATCGCTAGTCTCTAAGTCTAGTCTACGTTGGACATTAAGGGAATTACTGACGTAGACCGCTATGCCCGTTTCTTGTTTCTTATGTGGGTCTCTTCTAATAACACTAAAATCATTAACATGTATATCATCATCTGTAATGTTGTCATTTAATCTACTCTCACTAAGACCGAACATCTGAAAATTTTGACTAAGAATAAGGGACAGTTCGGGCAGTTTTCCCAGAAGATGGCAAATATTCAGATGACCTATTCTAAGTCTAGTTTTACTTAGCCAGTGTTCATGTGTGTCAGACATTATAAACTGCAGTGTGGCAATAGAAAATAAGCTATGCCAGCACCAGCAAATACCAAGTTACACAAAAAATATTATTCAGGCAATACAAGAGTAAAAACAAATTTACAACAATAATATAGTATTGAGCGAGAAAAAAAAATAAGTAAAACAGTTAAAATGGAGATAGTGCAGAAAAAATGAATTACAATGAATTACAATGTTTTAACTCATATACACCACCACCTAACTTACAGTTTAGCAGATTTAAGCAGTATTATAACTAGCTCAAATAATATACAAAATAAGTGTAGTTTGATAGACAAATGACTGTTTATAAATATGGCTATGTAACCCACTGCTGATCGAGTGGGCAACACAGTAATAATAAAATAAGCGCTTAAAAAAAACTTGTCCGACTGATATAGGGTAAGTGTTTTTTTTTTGTTTTTTGTTTTTTGTTTTTAGCAAGCGTTGTATCTGGCTGGTCTGCACTGTGCTGACATCATAAATGCTTGTCGCAGAATTTCAGGATCGAAGCGCATGAGATGGTACAAATCTCGGTTCCAATTTGAAGGATATTGTCGGTCGGGTACGCTGTTGTTTCTAGCCGCAGTCCCGAGCCCATCAGTCCTATTGACGGACTTTTCCCTACTTGGAAGTGGAGGAAAGGAATAATCATAGTTGCTACTCTCCTGTACGAAGGTGGGTGTGTGAGGGTGTGGTTGATTTCCACGTGATGGCGTGGGTACTCCAGGGGTGCTGGAGGATCGAGCGTCCTGCAATGGTAGTGCTTGGTTTGTATCATTTGGCCTGATAATCAGGTGAAGCAGAAACCGGTGTTATAGGCATTTCTGTGTTGGTGTCGCGTGCGAATGTGCACTAGAACGCACCAGTACTGAGTGAGCAAACAAGACGTCAAAACAATACGTCAGGTTGTGAAGGAATTGTATTCTAGGGGATGTAAGTCGAAGTTTGACCAAGGCGGACGTTTGGTCCGGCCTTGGTGTGGGGAATCCTTGAGGACGCTTTACCCCGGGATCCCACGGAAGCAAACGTTATATAAAGTTGGATCCTTGAGGACGTTTTACCCCGGGACTCCAAGACCTCAGCAGGAAGCTGGTGAGCACTACATTCTCGGCAGCAAGCCGGTATACTTCCATTGCTTAATTCGGACTTGTCCGAGGAGAAAGTAAATCGTCTGGATCTCAAGGTCGGACTGCGACCTATCGTGAGGACATATCATTACATGGATGTACGAGCGAGCTTTGGTGAATGAATCTTGATTAGTAAATGCATATTTCTCATTGTGTTGATTATCGATATTGTCAATACACAAATGGAACTTTTGAAGAGAGTTCTTGTTCTACTACGTTGGAAGCTTCAGCATTCATCATGTTCTGTTACTCTTGGCCAGTGGCATGTTAAGTGTTGATGCCACTTGTTAACTTGCGACACCCCTAGTCATTTTACGCTTGTCACAATCCATCAAGCATACACAACATTTTGGTACACTCGTTATCAAAGAAGTCCCGCACGTCACAATGGAGGCCAGCCTTTAAAGAATGAGGAACCTCTCGTCATAAGTGTGATACGACATTTTGTCGCATTGTTTTGCCTCAAGTTGTACACGAAGCACATTCCAGTTGTCACAATCTTTACCAATCTTTATCGTCCAAGTATCAAGTCGCCGCCACCGGTCTGTTCTAGCCATCGTTGGATCTTCATCGGGACCGTATCATTCTTCGTTCGTTGGA